AAAGTTGGGGGAAATAGTAGAGGTTATTTAGATCTCACCAAATTTACGTATGTTGTCTTACATGTGAATGTGTGTATATATGCAGTTCTATGTAATTTTATCATATATATAGGTTGATGTAAAGTGTTATCACCATCAAGATATTATTACAGGGCTGGGGATTTAGCTCAGCGGCAAAAGCACCTGCCTGGCAAGCGCAAGGTCGTGAGTTCGGTTCCCGGTACCGGAGAAAAACCAAAAAAAAAAAAAGATATTATTACATTACCATAAAGACTGCGTGGGCATTTCTTCATATCTAAATTCTCCCAGTGATGTTTAATAATTGTTTTAATTTACATCTTCTTAATGGCTATTTTTGTCAAGCATTTTTCCACATTGTTCATTTTCATAACCTCTTTGGTGAAAGGTCTGTTTTTATCTTTTTCCCATTTTCTAATTGTTTTGTTTTATTTATTTATTTTTACTATCTAGTTTTGAAAGTTCTTTATTTGCTTTAGACAGCAGCACTTCTGCAAATATTTTCTCCTGGTTTTTTGCTTATCTTTGTCCCTTCTTACAAGGTCTTGCATAGGACAATATTTTTTATTTAATTGGATGAAGACCAACTTATCAATTTTTCTGTTTTTCATTTAAATGATAAATGTAAAACCATGCTGTTAATGATCTTATTTAGATGCAAAGCCAAATTTTCATAATTACTGACTTTTGCCCAGTGGCCATTTACTGGATTACTAGAGAATTATTTTAAAAACAATTTCATAACTTGTTATTAATCAACATCCATGTCCTTGTTTTATAACAGTAAACCGGCAGCTCTATGTAGCCTAGGAAAGAGCACTGCACATGCTTCAGAACATATAAAAACCTTTATAAAGATGACTGCATAACTTCTCAGTATTCTATTTTGGATAGTTATTTTTCTTGAGAAAAATCTGTAACAGCAGCTAAATCTTTAAATACTAAGTTTCATATGTGAAAGAACTAAGAAAAATTTAAAGTAATTAACATAAAAGCAAAAAGGATATGGACAAATGGGCAAAAAGTAAACAATGACAAATGAAAACCAGAACTATATCAGCCACTAAATTTAATTTTCTTATGACCAGAACAACATAATACCTTCAGTGTCATTCTCATTATCTACATCAATAAAGAAAATTCCCACATCTGAAAAAGAGGTAAAGAAGTAGGATTTTGATAAATTGGACTATTGTGTAACTGAATCCAATTCTGTTCACTTCATTAATTCAATCCCCAAATGACCTGTGTTTACATCCCACTGGGCACTGCAGGTCTCGGCTTCAACTATGCTGTCAGTGTTGACCAAATTCCCACACTGTACCCTTTGCTATGAGAAAATGCAATAAAGCCATTTCTCATATCCTCGTACCTCACTGGGGATCTGAACAAACACAAACTGTCTATCAAAGTCATATTATTCCGGGAATCACAAAACACCTGAAAAATTATAAACAACTATCAAAGTAAAAATTCTTGATCTACCCAAAGTGACACAATTGATTTAATTACTTAAGTAGCCAATTTACTTGGCCAATTCACTTACATTTTAGCTAGTGATAGTTTATCATGGGAGTATCAGAAGGTTCTTAAAATTATGGGTTATATGGTAAGAGTTGGAATCTTAGATCAGCCACTTAGTTATGTAATCTTTATTATTTAAATATTAAATTCCCTAATGCAGATAATAGTATCTACTTCAAAACGTAGTTAGAAAAATTGAGTAACATAAATATGCAATAGAGGTCAACAGAATAAGCTCTCAAAAAAAAATGCTAGCCATTCCTTTAGTGACCACGATTCTTAGAAATATGTAACAATTCAACTACCAAAAATTTAGTGACTGTTATACTACAATTCAGTATGACAATGTCTTGAGCTCTGTAGACATAAGTAACACAAATTCTGTAGATTGATATACATTAGTACAAAACAACAAATAACTTTTTTGTGCGGCAGTGGGGATTGAATGCAGGGCCTTCATACTAAACTACAGCCCCAGCCTTTTATTATTTTTTTATTTTGACAAGGTCCCAAAAGTTGCCAGTGTCCAGTTTGAACGTGTTATCCTCCCAACTCAGCATCCCATAAAATTTTATTATACCCCTTATATTAGAAGTTAATTGTAACCTCTAGAGAAGAAAGAACTAAACTCTGCATTGGAGCTGCAAATAATTGCATAAGCTTTGGTAACTAGGAATGAGATGAGGCTATAGAGGTAAGTGATGCTGAGCATGTCATATAGGTCCTTATGGATGTTTGGATTTTGGTGGAAGAACAATGAGAAACCATTGAAGAAATTTAAGCAATTGAGTAACTGATTTGCATTTCCAAATAATAACTTTTTATTGAGTAGATGTTGAGGTAAAGGATAAGAGTAGATGTAGAAAGACTAAATAGTAGGCTAGTGAAATAATTAAGACAAAAGAACATAATGACTTGAATTGGAATATTAACAATTAAGATGTAAAAATGTGAACACAATGAAGATATATTTTGCAGACAGCACTGACCATTCTTAATAGTGGATATGGGAATGCGAGAGCACCCGGATGTCTGCACTGAGTGACTGGATGAGTGTATGCACCTACATACTATGAAGTAACATATTGAAAGAGAAAGAAATTGGTGTGGGAGGATGGCAGAAAAGCAAGACCTCATCGGAGTTAGAGATGCCTATAAAACACCAAGTGGTATCTCTTGAATTTTGTTGTTCAAAAGAGTTTAGAGCCTAGCATGGTGGCACATGCCTATAATCCCAGTACTCAGGAGGCTGAGGCTAAAGGATCACCATGAGTTCAAGGCAAGCCTGAACTACAAAGCAAGACCCTGTCTCAAAAAAACAAAACAAAACAACAACAACACACACACACACATAACAACATCAAAAAAGAAAACAAAAATCAAAAGAGAATTTAGAATTGAAGGCATATATTTGAGAGTCCTAAACTCACTAGTAAAAAGAGTAAAATTTGGTGACCACGAATGATGATACTTAGAGGATTAAACCGTCTATGATAAGAATGTAAAAGAAGATAAAGGAATCCCTGAGAAAGTCTGACACTTAGAGGCCAGGGGGAATAATAGAGGAGCAGTGAAAAACCCCGAGGAGAGCCCATAAAAGTAGGAAGAGCACAAAGAAAGGGAAAGTAGACAACTATATCAGAGTTTTGGGAGATCAAGATCAACTAAGGTGATGTCTTTTTTTTTTTAACCTAGATGAGTGGAGAAAATTGGTGATACTACCAAGAATGGGTTTAGTAGGTTGGTGTGAGTAGAACCTGGATTAGAAATTCTGATAAGCAGGAAGTGGAGTGGAGAAAATTCCCCAGAAAAAGACTGGTAGACCAGAAGAAAGTTCATTTCAATCACAGGGAAATATAAAATGAAGAGGGTTTTGGAAGTGGCATTTTAGATTACATATGCCAGAGCATGTGTGAATGCTGTTAGGAAGAAACTCACACACAGCTCAAGACTGAAGACACAAGAGGAAATTACTAGTGGAGAAAGATCACTGAGAATAGGTAAAAGCTCTAAATCATACGTGGGAAAATATATTTCTTAGACGGCAGTACACTTCCTCCTCTATTGGAACATGTAATAGATTAGGATGAGTGCAGATGTAAATAGAGTTTGTAGATTTAGTAGCAAAAGAGTGACAAAATTCCAGCCTCATATAAATTATTTTTAAATGAGATATGAAGCAAGACTATCTGCATATAGTGAATGTGTGATGTCAAGGGATGATACAGTAAGAATAGGACAGGGCACAGTGAATCAACTTTTCTAGTTTTCATGGAACAAGAGGCTTCCTGTGACTCTAGACTTGCAGTAATAAAACAGGAAATCCTCAGCAGACGGTACAGGTTGTTCATTCTAAAGTCTGAGCAGGGTAGAGGCAATATAAAATAGTCTTTGTACAGAGTAGGAGCGAAGCTCACTAGGAAATGATATAAAAGGGTAAATGTTGGTGAGCACGAATTTATAGCATAAGAGTATATTAAGACTAAAATTAGATTGTGCCTCAGGTAGAAAGTTTCCCAAACTTTCTTTGCCCACGGTACACTGTCACTAATTTTTTTATTGGACTCCCTAATTTTCTGGCCTACCTGTCTGTTCCACTAGCTTGAAGATTCTATTAAGGCAGAGACTATGACGGTCTTGATCCTTTAACATATAGTAAAAACAAAAATACAGATTCAATGAATTGACTTTAAATTGCAATAGTTAAACAATGCATGCTCCCATCAAATGATAAACAAGTGAAAGCTAAAAAATATCTTTATGGTTATTCGTTTTTATAGTAGGGCAAATCTGCTGGTTTGTAGACATTTGCATCGCAATAAACATTTACTGAATGAAAAGCTCAAGTTAGAGCTAGGATCTTAAATTACACCTGCTTGGTGCAAACCCCTCAATTCGATTCTACTTTGTCTATCCTAAATGCTATCTTCTGAGATTCTAGATTATGTTGTGTTCTTTAAAAAATAAGTAGGTGACAAAACGCCAGGAAAGTAATTGTAATCTGTCACAGTAGAATGAGGTTTTTCAAAGTAATTTAGCGGGAAACCATGGAGACGCAGTACGGTAGTTAACTCAGAGGCTAGGTGCTAGCATAATTTCAGTTTCTTGACCACTAGGTGGTGAACAGACTCCCAATTCTAACAACAGAATTCTTTCTAACAGTTTTGTGTTTCTCTGTCAATGCCCACAAAGGGCTTTGTACGTGAAGGAAAGCCAATAAAACTCTTGAAAACTTCAGCTTGGTAGACGGATCCCTCAAAAAAAAGGCTGGGATACAACTGGTAGGAGAGATGAAGAGCGGAACTACAGTTCAAGGCCTGAGGAACCTAAACTACATCTCCCAGGAAGCCATGGGCTGGGCTTCGCGTGACGTCTGCGTCGCGGCTCTTTCAGAACCGGTTCGCAGCAACACGTCGTTCCCAGCAATAAAGAGAAAGCTTGGGGGTGCGAACTTGTGACGCAGCTGCGCCTAAACGCCCACGGTATCACGCTGAGGGTGGTGGTTCCAATCTTCGCTTCCAATGGAGCAAGAAAACCTACGGCTGCCCCGTTAGGCCCGTGAGTCACGTGACCACGATGGTCACGTGATCCTGGGCGCCGCCGCGGAGGTCTGTTACCCCGACAACCACTGGCCCGCACGGACTTTCGGGAAAGCGCGGGATTCAGAGGCAAATGCAGGTGAGGCGCGGACGCTCTCTCTGCTCCTAAACCACCGGGACCGAGCTTGTGCCTAAGGCTTCGGTTTGTCGGGTCCGTGTCCTCCTCCGCCCGGACTCCACCGCGAATGCGTCTCCGTTTCCCTGCCGGCCTCCAAATCCGCGCTTCCTAGAGCCGGGACGCCCCAGGTGAGGGCCTCTCGGTGGAGCCCGCGTCGGACCAGGCTCTTGGGCGAGGCCTGAGCGGCGGGCGCGCAGACCTGATCCAGAATGCTGATACCGGGAGGAAGAGGCGTTCTGCAAACTGGGGAAGGTACGGGCCGGGCCGCGGCCCACTTCCTCCCTCCGTCTCTGCAAAACAGAGCTGGCGGTAGTGCAGCCTCAAGGAGTTAAAATCCGGAAGTTGGGCTCTTATGGGGGAAAGCGGGCAGCTTGGCTTTGCAAACCCCCGGATTCTACCTAAAGTGTTGAGGCCGTTCTTTTTGTTGGTTTCCTTACCCCGCCCCCCTGTAGTGCTGATTTGTACGCTCTCGAAGTAGTCGTTACTGACTCTCTTGAGTCTGTCTGTATCTGGAAACATCTATATCTGAAAAGTGTATTTTGCAAAACTTAACATGGAAAATAGCTAGCTGAGTCTGGCAGCATTAACTGGTCTTTACAAGAAAAAAATGGTTCTTTCACTTTGCTAATGTATAATTTTTAAGATTCTCTTTGAAGACCCCGATTGCTGGCAGGTATTCAGTAACTTGCAGATATATGTAAGTTTAGGAAATACTGGACGTTCCACCCTTTACCAACTGTACTTAACAGATGACAGTGGAATTGATGACAGTGGAATTCTGGACCCCGAGTGGAAGTAAACTTTATGAGCTGCTTTTTCAAATCACTTTGCTTACTGAATTAGGAATCTCTTGACCAGCTCACTAGTAATGACTGTGCATGCATAATCAGTTATAATGAAATTTCTGAAGTTGAAGTCTGGCAGTTTTCATGATGTGGATTTTCTCAGTGTTTTTGGTTTTTTTTTTCTTTTTTTTTTTTTTTCTTTTGTCTTTTAGTATTTCCAGTGCTGTCAACACTTTAGAATGTTTGCTTTGGGAAATGAAAATTCTTGACAATGGCTCGTTACTCTAAAGAAGAGCTGGATGAAGAATTTGAACAGTTTATGAAGGAGGTAAGTTGATGTCTTTTAAAAACAGTATTGTAAATTTATCTCAAAAGATTCACCCTTCAGTTCTCTTACCCCTAAGGTACAGTCATTCCATCACCAAACTGTGAACGTCACCTCCCAGATACACTCATCATCCCTCTAGCTTTCTTCCCTTCCAAATGCTGCTGCACCTGCTGATTGAATGCCATCATCTCACCTGGCCTCCTGCAGCTGTTCCCAGCCAGTGGCCTTCCCCACACTCCAGCCAGATGAGCTGTTCTTTTCTTCTGACGCTCTTCATCCCCAGTATAAAACTATATGTCTTCCTCTCATGTGTAGAATAAAATCCAAACTCCTCATGTTGCTTAGTGAAGGCTGCCATAATTTTGCTCATATCTGCCTTACTGAGTTTATATCACTCTTTCCCTTCATCCACTTTATTTATTCTACAGTGGTCTTTTTTCCCCCAGCCGTGTCAAGCTATTTCACCTCAGAGTAGTGGTGGGGAACCTTCTAGAGCTTTCAGTGATAACAGCCAGCTGCAAGAGCACGTGTGCCGCAGGCTTGCCATCACTGATTAGGGGCTGTGTAGTACCTTTCCCTCCAACAACAGTGTTGTTAACTAATGTTTTATCTGGCTGGTGAAGATCTTACTTTAAATGTTAGTACCTCAAAGAAGCTTTTTCTGGTGACGCGGAAAAAAGTAAGCCAAGTCACTTCTTAGCATATCATGTACTTAATTCTTTTCATAGCACTTAGCATCATTCATTATTTTTGTTGTGTGGGTCTGTTTGCTACTTCATAAGAACATACAGTCTGTGACATGGTAGCTAATTGCATTGACAAGTATGCTTAGTCAGTATCTGCTGAATGGGTAAAGAGCTATGCCACCTTCTGTATATTTATGTGAATGGAGAGGCCTCTTAGAGCATTCAGGGAAGTGCTTGTTTTTAGGAGAGTGGTTAACCAACTTTTTAAAATTACCTTTAATGAGATATAATTGACTCATTTAAAACGTGTAGTTTAGTTTACTTTAGAACATTTTTGTCACCCCAGAAAGAACCCCTGAATCTGTAGAAGTTATACCCAATTTCTCCTATTCCTCAGCCTCAGACAATATTCTCTAAAGATTTGCCTATTGTGAACATTTCATGGAAAGGAACTATACTGTATATACTGTTTAGGGTCTGGCTTATATTATTTAACATGTTTCCAGGGTTCATTCATGTTGTAGCGGGTATTAGTACCTCATTTCTTTCTCTGGCTACTAACATTACATCCTATGGCTGTGCCACATTTTATTTATCCCTATCAGTGGACATTGAGGATCTTTCCACTTTTGGGGAGTTTTAAGTAATGCTGTTATGAATAATCATGTACAAATTTTGTGTGGTTGTATGTTTTAATTTCTCATATAATTGCTGGGTCATATGGTAACTCTGTTTAGCCTTTGAGGAACTGCCAAACTATTTTCTAGAGTGACTGAACTATTTATATTCCCACCAGCCATATATTATTTTATTAAGGTTCTACTTTCTCCATGACCTGTTACTGAGGACCAGCTTTTTTGGTTCGTTTTGTTTTTAATGATGGTAATTTGGAAAGCAGTGTGAAAGGTTTTCAAAGCCAGAACAGCTATGATGCATTAAAAAATAAAGTGGATACTCTACTTCTTTTTCCAGTCTTTCTATAGTCCTGCAAGATTAGTGGTCCAATGCCTATGTTATAGATTAATAACATGGAAAACTTGGGGGAGGAAAGAGAAAGGGAACGTTTCAAGGTAATAATGATGTTTAGAGTTTAAGTGGAAAATGATGCACCTGTCTAACAAACTGAGATGAAATGTTTTTCTTCCTGCCTCTCTTCCTAAGTAGTTGTCAGTGAAGATGATAGGTCTTTCTGAACATTTTAACAACGACGTTTTTGCAAGTTACTGAGATAGTGTTTTTTGTTTGGGAGGTGGGAATGTGTATGTGGTCATCTTAGAAGTTATTGTTAACAATATCCTAGTTTGGGGGCATGGTACAGTAGAAAACAGACAGGCATTTGTAGTGAGATGACCGAAGTGCAGATCCTGACTTAGATGAGGCATATGTAAATGTGTATTTTGTCTCCAGAAAAAAGTGTGCACCATGAGGATGAAAATAGGATCAAGAGCACCATCTGATGCTGAGGAGATGAGCAAAATAGCCCCAAGCTGTTAAAACAGATGGGTGGGAGTGGCCCCAGAGCTGAGGAGTCACTAGGTGGGAGTGATCCAGGTGAAGCCGAAGAGAGTTTCAAGAAGTAAGAGTTCTCACCAGAATCAAATTCCCTGATGGGACCTAGGAAAATGACTGACAGTCCTCCTTTATTTGTGGTGTTTAGGAGGCCTTAGGTACCTGGAAAAAAGCCAGTTTGGTGGAAACCAAATCCTAAAGGGCTAAGCATAAAGCAAGGTGATGGAGTAAAAGAGAAATAGAAATAAGAAACTTACCCTGTTTTGTTTTCAAAGTAGAGTAGACATATCATTCTTTTATGCCACAGACTTGCCCGCTGCTGTGTGAGGGGCTGAGCAGGTTTCTAATTTGAGGGAAGGGGCTGAGTACGGAGTAAGAGTAAAGGTACAGAAATGAAATGCGATAACTAGGGAATAACCTCAAGAAGAGAAGCAACTTCTCCGCAGATTCTGTGGGGAACGGAGGAAAGAATTGTCCCTTAAGTTAGTTTAGTGGCGGAGTAAGGGGAAGTGGGGCGTCCTTTACTGAGCTCCTCATTTCCTCAGTGAAGACGGAGGCCGCCTTAAATAGAGAGGAAAATACTGGGATAAGAGTAGGAGATTTAAAAGTGTCATAAAATTTGGAGCAGATGGGTAGATGACAAATACAAGTTTATTATAGTTTATTAATCATCAGGACAAAATGCTAATTTCTGTAGGCAACACCGTCATCCTCTACACCCACTGAAATTCATTTCTTCCTTGTCTTGGAATTCTGTGTTCTTCTGGAATGATTCTAGGTAATTTTGCTTAACCTCTCCTTTTTCTTAAGACCCTAGACAACGTCTAAATAGGATTGTAGCCTTCCTTTTCTTTCTTTTCCTAAACAAGTACCTTGATCGAGTTTTCCTTTTTTTCTAGTTTGTTCTTTTAATTCTGGATGTGAAATCAACGTTCAGAGACATATGCTTGATGTTTTAGTTATTTGGCCACCTATCCCTAGAGAGAATGAATATATACATTATTGCTGAAAATATTGTCTGATAACTGAACATTTAAAGAACTAATAGAGAAGTACTATTCTTATTTGTGATAAACCTGGAATTCCTCACAATGTAACTTACTAATTGGTATATGATTTAGCTTTCAGATGATTCTTTTGACAAGTCAGACAAAAGGCCTAGACAACCTAGAGAACAAGTGAAGAAGAAAGAGGCAGTGCCTTGGTGGTTAACTGAAGATGATTTTGAAGATGGTGGTGAGTATTGTTGAAGTCTAGTTTTAAATTATTTGACCACAAGGGGTCAGTCAAGTCTTATAATGCTGGGTTTTGATTATATTTTTATATGTGTGTATAATAGTGTAGAATCTTGAGGTTTGATTTGATTGTCATGTTACAGTACTTCACTTTCTGTTGAGAAGGTGTTTTTACATTGAGCTCATTTAGATTTGCTCGCATGAAGGTAATGAGTAATCCAGATACATGTATATTGCTATATTTAATGGTAAATTTATTTAATACAATTCTGGCAATGTGTGAACAGAAATCCCTGGGGATGTTTTTTAAAAATCTGTTGATTTTGGTATTACATTAAAACCATTTGAAATAGATTATTGCCTTAATGGCAAAAAAAAAAATTACAAAAGAACTCATCACTGATCCTCTGTGGCACATGTATATCTCTTCTGGAATATTCCCAGTTACATCTTTACAAATGCAGACTTACTTTGAGTGTTTTCTTTAGTAAGTATGCTTTCTGTGCTACTGTGTGTGACTTACAGTAAGTGTATGTCATATATGGTACCATACATGGTATATTTATTGTATATAGTACTGCCATGTCTGTAAAGAACCCAGACTACTTCTATTTAACTACCTATGTTTGCAGTGTATGTGGATCTGTGTTAAACACCATTTTGCAAACTGTTAGAATTTCTGTATCTCTTCTCTAGGGAAAAATTTACCTGGGGCGTATTTTTTATGACATAAAATGAAGTCTGAAGCTGGGTGTGGTGGTACATGCCTGTAATACTAGCACTCCGGGAGGCTGAAGCAAGAGGATCATAAATTCAAGCCCAGTGTGAGCAACTTAGTGATTTAGTGAGACTGCATCTCAAAATAAAATTTAAAAGTGGGGGGATAGGGGAGTGTTCTAGGGATGTAGCTCAGTGTGCAGGCCCTCGGTTCAATCCCTAGTACTGCCAAAAAAAAAATTGAGTCTGGATTTCTTAATGTAAGAGTTGAGGCTCCATTTGGTCCGACTAGAACCTTCCCTTTCTACCTCATGTGCTGCATTCACGCTCAGTTATTCCCTGTATCCTAGAAACACCTTCGCTCCCGTTTCTCTGTGCCTTTACAATGCTATCTTGACGTTAATAGTGCCTTTCCGCCTGCCTCGGCCTCCCAGAGTGTTGGGATTACAGGCGTCCACCACAGAGGTGCAACCCATAGATAGCAGAGGGCTGCCTGTGCGATTAACGAAGTTTTATATTGTGTAAGCTGCAGTGTTTTTGCTCTTGGAATGAAGAGCAGAAGTTACCCTGGCTCAGGAGGGTGAGCGTGGTGTGGTCATGGTCTTCCAGCTCTGGGCTTATTTTCTCCCACATGCACTCTCTCAGCTAGGCCCAGCATGACTCATTGTTTTGCATCCTCAGCTGTGGCTTGCTGCTCCCATTATGAAGCCCTTGTGCTTACTGTTTGCTCCGCCTGTGCTTGTCTATCGTTCCCAGTTCACCTAGTTATCTTTTACTCTCTCTTCCCATCTTAGCAGAAGTGTTACTTCCTTGCAGAAAGATTCTTGGGTTTTCCAGTCTTACTAAGACCCCGTCCCTATTAATACAGTTTTCATTCAAATTTCTGGGGTTGTAACTCATATTTAATTCTCCTCTGCAGACCTTGATTCTTCCAGGTGACCTCCCGTGTTTACTGATTTCTTTCTTTCATCTTCCATTAGACCTAAAAAAAGGATGGTTTGTTGTTCATTGCGTCTTCTAGATCTTTCTCCCTCGGGGCTCTTTATAAAGCGTATCGTCAGAGCCGTCACTACTTGTCATTGTTACAGTTGTCTACTGATGTCCAAGTTATTCCTTATTCTTCAAAGAGACTAGCTCCTGTTTTACCATCGAGTTCTCCTGTCCAATTGTGGTTGGCTTTATTAATCCCTCCAGGGCCCTGACTTTTGAGTTCCTTGAACTTCTTTACACCAAAAATCTGATCATCCATAGCATTTCCCACCTAGTCCCTCTAATAGCTTTTTTTTTTTTTTTTTTTTTTTTTTTGGTTTCATTGAGACAGGGTCTTGTTATGTAGTCCAGGCTGGCCTTGAACTCACTATGTAGCCCAGGCTGGCATTGAACTCTTGGCAACCCTCCTGCCTCAGCCTCCTGAGTGCTGAGATTACAGGGGTGTGCCTCCATACCCGGCTTCTAATAGCTTTTCACGTCAGTAATCAAGAAGTCCAGTGACCAGCAAACTATAATCCTAACCCTGCACTGTGACTTCTCTGAGCTGTCAACTTTCCCTTGGTCATGCCATGGTAACTCCTGGCCTTCTAATACAGAGGCTTTCTCCTTGTTTTCTTTCACTGTAACACTCTTCCTCTAAGTATTGCTGTGGACTGGCCCCTTGTCTCCATCAGGTCCTAACTCAAGTGTTAACTTTTCCATGAAGGCATTCCTTGCTGCCCTACTTAAATTTGCAGTGTCCTTCCTCCTGCCTTCAAATATTTCAAAATATCTTTTAAAATATGGTCTCTATTTTTAAAAAAATTATACAAGAAATAATAATAATTTTAATGTCATCTGATTCCTAATCAGCCACAAAACCCTGAATGCATTTAATATGTATTAGCTTTTGAGAAAATTTCACATTCCAAACTGCTATCAGAGATTATGAGAGCCTTTCCTCCCTCAGCAACAGACAACCTGCCGTGCAGAGGATCTTCCTTGTAGTAAGCCAGTTTCTAAAGTTGTGGAAATAAATGATTTTAAAAGCTTGTTTTAGGTAGTTCCATCTTTTTAAAGTGATACTTACACTGACAAAAGATCTTGTCTAGCGCCTGTACGTGTGCTGACTTACACCTGCTTTACCTTTCGTGTGTTGTTTGGCTGCTTCATGCTATTATTGTATTTCTAAAAAAGTTACGCAAGTCAACAAAAACTTTGTAACTAAAAAGAAAAAGAGGGAACAAGGTACTGCATAAAGTATGCTTCAGATTTTTAAAAATCTTAAGTAAAGTTTTTAAACACTCCATTTATAAAAGATACACTATAGTCAAGTGAAATTACAGTATTTCTTTTGTGAATTCTGTGTGTGTTGGATTTATTTAATAGATTTATTTTGTAGCTCCTGTGCATAATTTAACATAACAGTATTATCATGTTGGCGTATTGATCAGAACAGTTCTCTGAACATCAATACCCAACCATGTTAAATCCTATTCTTAGGACTGGTTGGAACAAATGTAAGCTATTTGAAAGGAAAGAAGAGTTCTCACCCAGTGATGGAAATAGAAGAGGAGTCTGCTGAAAAATCTCAGCTTCTGAAGAGCAGTGGAACCTCTATCTTAAGTGTTGACAGCTTGGAGACAAATGGTATGAATGTGAAGAATATGTTTTGATAAATTGTTAATATGCTTATATTCATAATTCTTACAAAAATTCACTCATAACTATCTTGGAGCCTCTTTTACTGAAGCACATAGACAGATTTAGTATGTTCTCAGATGTTTAGAATTACAGCTCTGGAAGCCTTAAATTCTGTAATATTGATTTTGATTGCAACGTTATTTGGTAGATGAGAGATTGTGTAAATTATTTGTAAACGTTTATTTTACTAAATGTTAATAAATGTATCACTTCAATTTTATCAAAATTCTGTGTATTAATAGCATATATTTATGCTTTTTGTACAGAACTGATAGTTTCTGGGCTCGGTCCTAGTGTTCTCGGATTGGGATTGGACACGTTAGAAGAGCAAGAAGAGAAAGAGCAGTTTTTTGCCAGGCTTGAGAAAGGCTTGACATCTTCCATTGATTATGCACGATTAAACAAGGAGTTGGATTTCAATGACTCTACACATTTTAAAGGTTTAAATAGGTAAAGTAAATACAATATAAGCTATTAACTGACTTCTATGTTTTTCTGGTATTTTTGGAAGGCTGATGTATGCTTTAACTCATAGAAAAACCTAACAGGGAAAATTAACTTTGTTCTCTATTCTTTGTTATGGTCAGGGTTTTTCTCAGGTATGAACAGAGTGTCTTGATTTGTAGTGTGAAAGCCCACTCTACCTATAAATACCTGAAATTTTATACCTAAGATACTGTTGAAACTGCTAGTACATTGTAAAGTCCTTACTGGGAAAGAAATTAAGTGATTTTCCACAAATAAAGTAAAATGGGAGGGGGGGTTCAGTTTACTGTTGTAAATGCAGAACAATTAGAAAAAAAGAATAGAAGACAGTACTAGAGAGTCTGACATCTGTGTATAGTTGACTGTCTTGGTTATCAGGACATCTTAATCCCACAAATCTTCCTAGTTGACTGAGTTGGTGCTTTCTCAACAATCATTGGCCATAGCCATTCTCAGACCTTTGCGACACCTCAGGTCTTTAATGTCCTCACAGTAGTCGTCTGTGTAATTGTTTTGTTATAAATGGAAAGCAGATTATAATTTTATTTTAGATTTTGAAAATACCAAAGTATAATTTAGAATGAGAAGCATAACTGCTGGTTATTAGAGTGCTTTATCTCAGCATGATTAGCTTCTTATAGGTAATAAAGCAGTACACTAATTAGCATGAAATGTTCCAGGTCTGAAACTGATACCCTGCTTGCAAACTAACAAATTAGCCTTCTAATTCTGTGGATATTGACAATAAGCAGGAGATTCCTCAGACGGAAGCAGAGGGCCTTATTTCTCACTGCAAAAGTTCTACCGCAGTGTCGTGTTTGTCTGCATCGGTTCCTGTACCCCATGAGTTCTGCCAGCCAAGGCAAAGGATCCACAGTGGGTGTCTGCACGTGCAGTGGGTTGTGTTACAGGAGAGAAACACTGAGCTTGGGAAATCTGTTACTGCTTTTATCGTAAGTGGAAATGAGCTTGCTTTGGGGTGGAAACATTACCTCACAGCTCAAGATTGATTACTGCGAACATCACACTGAGAACGGCTTAGGTAAAGAATGGTCAGGGCCTTGCATTGTGGAGCTACTCAGGAAGAACGTGCAGGGACACTCATTGCCTATAGCCGTTGCCTCTCCACAGGGACAGCTCAGATTAAGCATGCGTGAGCTTTCTGACCATGATTTGTTTCTTTGAATATTTCTTAACTTTTTCTTATTAATAATATTCTTAACTATTTGTATTTTTACTCCAGAATAGGGTAGTCAGGATGCAGCATGGCATGGAGTATACAGTATTAGCTATTTGTTGCTATTATCATTGTTACTTACAGTTTATCGAGTTTGCTCATGATTTCCCACTGAAGAGAGAGTTAAGTGACAGGAAAAGGTAGAACTGACTCCTTAGTTTGAAAAAACTAATTAGTACATGAACTAATATGTCCTGTATAACCAAAACATGCTCAAGCTCATCTGCCCCCTTGCTTTTGAGTTTTCTTGATGTAAGACTCCTGTTTGCTTCCGTTTCAAGATTAAATTGGGTGTTAACAAGTAAATGCGAGAGATGGTTTTTTCTTGGTCTTTATATTGACTTCACTGGATCTCATCCCTTGAGGTCAGTTCTTAATCTGTAGTGAAGAAGGGATTTCTAGAGCATAAAATGTGTATAAATACAAACACATGTATATATAAAATAGCCCATATTTGTACATAAATTTAAGAAAAATTGAATTTTTTTTAATTGCCTGTATAGCTACCATTAACCTTAGGCTTTGAGAATCCTTTATTTTCAAAACATTTTTCTTATAGTTCCCAAACTTTTATTTTTAATAAAACAAGAGTACTTGACATAATTTTATGTTAATTATTTTTTCCAGTTATGAAGCCAATATAGGACTGACTGAAGATGAACATGAGCATGAGTCAAAACGTGAACAACTGCCAGGTAATTTCATTGGTTTCAGATTTTATAAAATTTGAGAAAGAGTTTTGAGCGGGTAGAGTGGCACTGACTGTGTTATAATCAGAGCTGCTGTTTAATTGTCAGAAGTGAATTACTGCCTCGTTGAGAGCAGACAGTGGAGCATTTGGAAAGACAGGAGAAAGGTTTTCTGTGCCAAGACTGCAAATCTGAAGCTAGGATAAAAACTGCAAAGAGCATGGCAGTGAGCAGCTATACCTTTTTTTCATATTTTGAGTGTTGTCTGCACTCTTTATACTTAAAATGATTTTCTTGTGAGGGACAAATAGCTAGCTGGGTTTTGCTTTTTTGTTTAACATGGCTATCTCTGACTTTTTTTTTCCTGGTACCAGGAATTGAACTCAGGACTTTCTGCTTGCCAAGCAGGCACTGTGCCACTGAGCTATATCCCCAACCCAGTCTCTGACTTTCAACTGGTGTGTGTGTACCCTTTACAAAAATATATTTTTGGTATGAGTTGTTACTGCTTTGCTGTTTTCTATCTTTCTATCATTTTTTGTTGATTTTGTCCTGCATTCTATAGAATCTCATCCATTTTTTTTTTTACTTATTTGTACAATTTGTAGTAAGTAATGTTTGCAATCATTGTGGGGAATTTTGGTACATGTACATAATAGATCTTTTAAAAATTTTATAGTATTAGTACTTCTTGGCAGTACATGAAGTTTACATTCCTCTTAGGGAGTAGTTGCATGTACATAACATAGCCTGATTCTTTTTTAATCCCCTTCCCTCCCCACCACCTCCTTTCCTCCATCTCTAAATCCTCTTTTCCCATTTTCAGTCCTAGTGTTACTATTATTTAATTTGTGTTTATGACGTATAATATTTACATTAATTGTGGGTGTTTGGTGCATGTAATTGACACACTTTGGATGATTTTACTTCCCCTTCTCTTCACACCCTCCCCTCGTACTCATTCTCCTGGATCCATTCCCACTTGCAAAAGCTCTATCTCCTTTTCTCCTTTATAAATCCTTTCTTTGGCTCTTTATATATACTTTGCCTTACTCAAATGAGAGATACCATATAGTATTCAAGCTTGTTTGTGTGATTTATTTCTCTTAACGTTATATTTTCCAGTTGTATCCACTTTTCTACAGATGTCTAGAATTTGTCCTTTTTTATAGCCAAGTACTATTCTATTATGTATACCATATCACTTTCTTTTTTATCCATTTATCTCTTAGTGGGCATACAAGCCACTTCCAGGATTTAGCTGGTATGAATGTGCTGCTGTAAACACTGGTACTCATGTATCACTGTAGTATGATGTCTCTAACTGTCTGGGGAAGATACCTAAAAGGGGAGTAGCCGGGGCAAATGGAATTTTTAGTTTTAGTTTTTTGAGGACTCTTCATTTTATTTTTAGTTTAGTACATGGTGAGTGATGTGGGTCCAGCTTCGGTCTTCTGCAGATGGCCAATTTTCCAGCATCATTTGCTGAGTAAACTACTCTCAACTTAAGTTTTTGGCCCCTTTGTTAGAGATCAAATAGCTGAATATATCTGCAGATGTTTTTATATCCTGTCTTCTGTTCCATTGATCCACAAGTCTGGTTTTGTGCATCACAATACCTGACTTCAAAACAGCAATGATTAAAAAACAGCAAGGGTTCAGCACAAAACCAGAAAAAATTCTTTCCTCAAAGCAGAGTCCTGCTGGGCTTGGTGTCACACACCTGTAATCCCAGCACTTGTGAGGCTGACACAGGAGGATTGTTGTGAGTCCCAGGTTAGCCTGGGCTACACAGTGAATTCAGGACCAGCCTAAACTACATAATGAGACCATGACTCAAAAAAAAAAAAAGACCACAGAGTCAAATCACTTACATTAAATAGCTGAAAGGATAAATACATTGCTTATATGTGATAGACCTTGTATTTAATGCATTTCATTTTATTTTTCTTTTGATTTTTTTAATTATCTCTTTGTTGTGTTTTTTTTCTAGTTGTCTTATGATTGACAGTACAATATATACCTACTTAGAGCCTACTTTTAAATACTACTCTAGCACTTCCATGAGCCTTAACAACAAACCTTCCCCATTTTCCTGTGTCATTCATTTTCTTCTACATGTCTTAAATCTCACAATATATTATAATGGTTCTTAATACAGTTATTTTAAAATGTTTAAAATATAAAAATGTATATTTATGTTAAGATTTGTATTTCTCCAAGGCTCTGTATTTCCCTTTTTTTTGAGACAGGATCTCACTATGCAGTTCAGGCTAGCCTTGAGCTCAGTTTGTAGCCCAGGCTGGTCTTGAACTCAAAACGATCCTCCTGCTACAGCCTTCTGAGTGCTGGGATTAGAGGCATGCGCCACCACGCCCAGCTTGTATTCTTTTATATAAATTTCAGTTTCTGTCTTAAATTATATTTTTAAAAAACAAATTCACTCAGCTTTGATTTGTCTCAAAATATATTTTGTCCTCATTTTTGAAGAGTACTTTTTTGATTAATATAGAATGTGTGGAGTTTTTTGTTTTGTTTTTGTTTTTGTTTTTTTTTAATTTGAGCACTCTATTCCATTCTATTGTCTGGTGCCCGCATTTCTCAAGAGAAGTCCCTGGTAATTACTGTTACTTAATATATACAGTCATCATTATTTGTGAAAGACTGCTTTCCTTGTCCCCTATAGGTGCTTAAATCTTCTGATGCTCAAGTCCTTAGCATTTGCGTATAACCTCTATATGTCCTTCCCTATAGTTTATTTTCTAATTTACTTATAATACCTAATGTAGTGAAATAATTCTTTTTTTTATTTTAAAGAGTAAAAAATAATAAAAAAATTAGAAACTACACAATTTCAGAAAACAATATGATATGAATTCAGCAATGGTTGTTATATTGCATATTTTTGTCTTCAAAGTAGTTGTTCAGGGCTGGGGATTTAGCTCAGTAGCACAGCGCCTGCCTGACAAGTGCGAGGTCATGAGTTCAATTCCTGGTACCGGAAGGAAAACAAAAAACAAACAAACAAAAAAAGTAATTGTTCAGACTACCAGATATAAGCGTGCAAAATTGGTTAAAAAATATTAAGCATTAATTGTTCCTTTCAGTGAACTAATAGAAATTAGTAATACAGTTATTAGCCATCTTGTGTATGTATGTATGTATATTTCTTTTCCTTTCTTTCCTTCTTTCTTTTTTCCTTTCCCTCATCCTGAAAGAATAAAATGTGAAATAATTCTTATACTCTGTTGTTTAGGGAATCATGAGAAGGAAGTCAGTGCATGTTCAGTACAGACACAATTATTTTTCTAAATATTTATAACCTACTAGTTAAATTTACAGATGTAGAGCCCACATAGGACAGTATGATGCTCAAGTCCTTAGCATTTGCGTATAATCTCTATATGTCCTTCCCTATAGTTTATTTCTAATTTACTTATAATACCTAATGTATTTTTCCCCATTTTTAAGATTTTATGTTTTGACTTATGACTTTAGTTATGACGTATGTTAGTGTACCTTTTTTGTATTTGTCCTGTTTGAAGTTGATCCATCGTCCTAGGATTGATAGGTTTCATCAAAACAAAAAATGGTTTGACGATTAACTCTTGAAATATCATTTCTGCTTCTTGCCCCATACCCTCTGATCCTAATTATAAAGTGTGTTAGGAAACTTAAGTTTTGCTTAAAAGTCACTAAGGCTCTGTTACATCCTTGAACACACGATGGGGCAGTAATTTGTATATCTCGTTGCCAGGTGGCTTGAACCACCAGTGGTACATTCGTGACTGTCCCATGCATGATTGTACCAGTATGACCAATGGTACAAGCTACCCAGTAGGACAGTCATCCACACACCACTGATGGTTCAGTCTGGCAGGAACATGTAAAACCGTTCAGTTTTTTCGTTCTGTGCATTTGTTTCTATTACTATACCTTCAAATTCATTGATATTTAAATCTGCTGTTTATACTACTCATTCTTTTTTTCTCCTTGACTCTAGAAATTCCTCTTAGATTTTTCAAAAGAATCTCTTTACTATCTTTCCTACTTTACTTTTCGTTACATTCACATTCGTTATATTCTGCAGATTAGAACATGAGTTCAATTCAGTGTCTCTGTGTTATCTGCTTTTATTTCTGCTTAGGGATATTTTTCCTTACTTTGTTTCATTGGATATTATGAATATTTAATAGTTGAATCTTCTGGATTTTATTTTCTCTTAAAAATGTTGAGCTTTGTTGTCATAGATAGTTGATCCTGTCCCCTTGATCCTTTCAAGCCTTTTCACATGTTTGTTAGGAGACATCCAGAATAGCCACCAAAGGTATCATTTAACCCTACTACTGAGGCACATCCCTCCGAAGGTTCCTGTTGAATGCTTCTGGTGATCAGTCCTCACTTCCCAAGCAGATTAGAGCTGGAAAGTCTCCCTGCCCTGTGTGAACTCTGGAAATGTCTAGCCTACAGTTTCCCCAGGGTTCTTGGCCCAACCAGCGTATTAGCATTTACTGAAGCTTTGCTGAGTAGTAAAGTAGTAGTAAAAATCCCGTGCAGATTTCTGTTTTGTATGTACTTCTCTGATTACTGTCCTAGCACCTGTGATGGCCTCATTCTTTCTGAACTCCGTCTCCTTCACGCAGTGATACTGTCCTCCCCCTCCTTCCCAGGACTCCAGAATGGACGTCAGTTGTCCAGGGTCTGAAAACAGTTTCTTCATATATTTTGTCAAGTTTACTGTTTACAGAAGAAGTTAAGTTCCCTTAACTCCAACCTGACAGAAGAAAGTTCTCTGGATTGCGTTATACTTAATGTGCAGCCAAATTTGCCAACAAAGGATGAAAAATGTCTCGAAAAAAGATCTTTCAGATCTTTTACATTGAATATGCTTCACTTTCTGTATATTGGAAGAGTGTTTTGCTTTTATACAAATAATATTTCAAAATTACAAGAGTAGAAAATATCTTAAATGATATGTCTTCCTGCCCAAAAGGTCAGAATGCTACAGGTTAACATCTCACTTTTTGCAAGCAGTGTGGTAGAGCCTGGCTCTTAACGTCGTACTTCAAATATAAAAATCACCTCAGTTGGGTTTTACTTTCGCTTTTATATAAACTCAATTTGCTTTAATGGTTGTTTGTAAAATCTCTGACATACAGTGTCCCTTTATTTCCTGCCTCTCTCATTGCTCTCTGTGTCTACCTGTGGCATTTCCTTGTTGCTCCCAACCTGCTTTGTTCATAACACATTCCCTGGGAGGTTGTATGGTAGAATTTGCTTGTAGGCTGTTCAGTGACTAAATGAGAATATTAAAACATAATTTGGAAGAATGCTCATTAGATTAGCAGTTTTCCCAATCTCAAGTAATATTTGCGTGGTTTGGAGGTGTAACTCAGTGGTAAAAGTGCTTAGCTAGCATGCCTGAGGCCCTGGCTTTTATCCCCACAGCCACACAAAAAAAGAAAACGAAGGAATATTGACTTTAAGGTCAAGACTAGTTATAAACATACTAACCGCAGTAATCACAGTTATTAAGTACGTGTGTATAGTGCATATCAACTGTTTTAAACATTTTAACTCTGAATCTCAGCAGTCATTTGAACTAACAGTATTATCATCCACAGTTTACTGATGGAAAGAAAGCCAAGAGAGTTTGTGACCTGCCGTTAGTTCAGTAGAACAGGGAATTGGATGCAGGCCTTCTGGGTCGTCATACTGTGAAGCACTATGTTACAGTACCTGCACGGTTTCTCACACTGCCCCTGTGCAGTCACACACGTACCATAACCCTTCCCATCACTTCGGGAATCCCAGCTAGTTACCTGTGATCAGTGCCATCCTGTCCCATTTCCTTTCTCCCCGTTCATCTTTCTTTCCTTAGCTCCAGTGTTTGAGGTTACTTAAAATTCAGTGATCCCCACCTGGAATATGAAAATTATAATCACTGTATTTGGACCGATCACCTGGAAGTGTGTCTAATATAAAGTACCATTAGTAGTATTAGCTCATTACAGTTTTGCAAATTTGATTATGCCCACGGATATTTAGAAAATCCCAAAAAAAGTGTTCTTCTCGTGTAAGGGAAAAGAAGTGAGTCATAGACTATAGATATTGTTGTATTTGACCAAGTAACTTATCTTGTCTACCTACATTACACTATCCATGCTCCTCCAAACTCATATTTTTTATGAATTAAAATGGAGATGTCTCTGCAGCCAGATCTTACTGGCATCATCCTTATTTGAATTTGTATGGCTTCCAGAATTCATTTACAGACTTCCAATATTAATTCCATCCAAGTTGTCCCCTCAGTGTAAAACAAAAACGTAAAAGGCATTTCCGAAACAGACATTTTAGTTTTCACACAGTCTGTTTCCTGTCAGGCCGTCCTGGTATCACTGTGCTGTAATTTGTAAAAATACGAATAAGTATTTGTTTCAGTGCCACTCTGAAGAGGTTGTTCTTCAGCCCACACATCTCTACCAGTCCTTTGATGTAAGCGCTATAAACAGCTTAAAAACTGATGAAGAGATAAGTGTCTCACCTTCCCCGTATGTAGACTGGGGGAGTCACTTCATATGGAAATAACTTTTCTTTCTGCTGTAAAGCCAGTGAGATGTACTTTAGAGGTCTCAGCCAAAAATGCCACGATTTGGGAGATAGCAAAGGTCACTTGGCGCTAGTACTTACCTAACTGACGGATCACAGATAGATCTGTCAAAAGTACCACTAAGGCCTACAGCAGAGGTACCTGAAGAGAACAAAAAGTCACCTTAAAATAAGAAAATCCAGCCCTTTTAAGAATATCAGAATTTCTCAAAAGTGCAGCTTTTTCTAAGTAAGCAACTGGAAATTAATGTCTTTGAAAAAGCTAATTTTGGGCCAAGGATATAGCTCAGTGGCATAAGCACCTGCTGGGCAAGCTCAAGGTCCTGAATTCGATCCCCGGTACCAAAAAGCAAAAAAAAAAAGTTTCTGAAAAAGCTAATTTTAAAGTTTTACTTGAAAGATAATATAAGATCTGTTGGAGAGCTCTGGAAACCTTTATTTGGGTAATAATATAAAAGGCTAAACATATGAAACTTAGAACTATCTGAAAGTATAAAAAATGAAATAGTCTCAAGATAGTCTTATAAATTGAACATTCGTTAAATTTTTGCAAAAAATATGGTATCTGAAAATCAAAACATTTCCTTATGTTAATATCTCAGTAAATTATTCTTATGCTGACTTGTGCCTTTGGAAATTAGTGTTTTCCTGGAATTTGACTTTTTTGACAGTGTGATTCTTTTACTTTTTAAAATCATTTTCTTCAGAAAATTACAGCGATGACTTTGAAGATGCCGAGGATGTTGATGCCCCTTTGATTATTAAAGACGGAGGAGAACCTCATTCCAAAGAAAATCCTGGATCAGAAGAAGTGAACAGCCCCGGACAGGTGCACAGCAATTTCACATTGGGCAGTTCTGCAGCTTCTGTCACCAGCTTCAGCGTTTCCATAAGCAGAGCTTTAAATACAGAATTCATCATATCCAGCTCGTTGTAAACTTTAAGTTTCTTGGTGCTCCATTAAACATTTTAACCAGGATGTTAGTTGAGCATGTTTAAAGGAAAAATCGTAACAGTGATTTTATTAGAGATAACTTCTGTAATTTCCTAAAGTTCAGTTTTAGAAATGGGAAACAGTTAAAATTTTAAAACTAATTTTTAAATTGGTATATATAATTTCACTTTGTTTGATAGGACTTGTCCTTGTAAGGGATAATAAATACCCTTTTCTTAGTATTTATCTAGTGATTACTTGGGATCTGAAACTTACTTGGCTAAGACAATGACGTTATTCCATTTACGTCTAATTTCTCTCATTTCTCAATTCTGACTTCTTAAGGACTGTTATTCCGTTTGCTAGTGAGATAGATTAAGAAAGTATATACCCTGCACAAAATGTGCCACTCTAAATGTGGAAGCCTCAGAGCTGTCTGCTAAGACCCTACACTTTCTAGCCAAGTGAGGAATAAAGGTGATACTATTCTAAGGCAACCTACAATGCTTTTTGTTTGTTTTTGAGACAGGGTCTCACTATGCAGTTCAAACTGGCCTTGAGCTCACTTTGTAGCCCTGGCTGGTCTCGAACTTGCAACAATCCTCCTGCCTCAGCCTCCCAAGTGCTGGGATTACAGATGTATGCCACCACTCCGGCCTTTTTTTTGAGACAGGGTCTCAGGCAACCTATAATGTTAAAGGACTTTTATCTGTTGGTGGCTTCTCTTTCTGAAAGTTACCTCTTTCAAAGTATAGATGAAACTGAGTGCAGTGTACATATTTTTGGTCATTACTTTTGAACAACAAGGGAAATATTCTCATTGCAGAGTCTTGTGTGCAGTGGCCCTCTTATCTTGATGTTCAGAATAACTCGAGAATTTTTGAGCAAGATAGTAGATGGCAGCTAAATATTTTAAGCAAGTCTTTTCAGAGTGAAGTAATTTTGGTAATTGCAGAAGTTCAGAAGAAACTTCTAGAAGCTACTTAGGAGCTACAGTTTCTCTGGGTCTGAAGAGTTAGTGATAAATGAGAGCAGTGAAGGAAACCTGGGAAGCACAGCCCCTGATCTTTGGAGAAAAGCACTGCTTTTCAAATTTGTAACTATTTCAAATTATGTAACCAAGCATAATTTTGGTTTCAAACATGTAATGAATCTTTTTTTTTTTTTTTTTTTTCAGGTAGAAGAAAAAACCGGTATGCTGGCTAATGGTAAATATTACATATTTTCATGTTTTAGTTGGCAAAATATTCACCTGTTTAAGTTTCATCTAAATAATCCTGAGTAAATCACCATCCTTGTTTTTAAATCTCTGTAAGGAATTAAAGTTCAGAGCTGCTCAGTAGTGTGTCCCTTGTGCCTATCCTGGAATCATCCTGTTATACTTGACAGTATTTCCTTTTTGTTGTTCTCAAGTCTCTGCCACCCAAGTACAAAAATGTATGTTAGACCTACATATAATTACAGATATGTCATAGATACATTTGTTGGTATTAGCCTGCTCGTACGTAGGAAGGAAGTCAGGTTTGTTGGACGTATAAACTCATATGCATGTAACATACCATTTATATGAAACATTTGTTTTTATACATTGTATATGAATAAAATAACTTTATTAGATCAAAAGAACCACAAATTTTTCTACATTTCTAGTACTTTTTCTTTTATATTCCACTAGTCGTGCTGCTTGATTCGTTGGATTCTATTGAAGGTGCCAACCTTGATGAACAAGATAAAGCAACAACTACGCCAAAGGCCCTGCCAGACATGACTGATAATGAAATGACAGGAACAGGTAAAATTGTTTGAGAAATTGCTTATTCTCTAATCATGGGCTACTTTAAGACTAATTGACTCCATTTCCAGGGAGATATATCAAATGTATGTTGGACCTACATTGACCATGTGGTTACACTGACAATAAAAACTTAAACCTTGCATCTTTCTACCACATTTAACAAATTAGAATTTGAGCTGGACATGGTGGCACAGACCTGTATTATCAGCACTCTGCAAGGCTGACGTGGGAAGATCCAAGCTTAAGCTCAGCCTGGGCAACTTAGCAACTTAGTGAGACTGTGTCTCAAAAGAAGCTTGATGAATTTTTAAATATTGAACATAACCCTGTAATCAGCAACCAGATCAAAAACCAAAAGAATACCAAACTACAATGTCCTTTCTTTTTTTTTTTATTTTAAAAATAAAAGGAGGAAAACATTAACAGACAGACAACCTTCTACAAAATAGCAAAAGAACAGTACAGACAATACACAGTTACAGAGTGGTAGGAAACTAACAATGCTTGTTGTATTACATATTGATATCTTCAAAGTGGTTTCTCCTGAAAACAGAGACATGCAATATTGATCAATCAAGGACTCATTGACAGTTTCTTATAGCAAAGAAATAGAAGACAGTAGAACAACTATGTTAACTATCCTTTATATACATACATACAAAATTTCTCCTTACAGTGTCCTTTCAAATGTCTGATTTCTAATCACTATGGTGATCTGTCTGGATGTAGAGTATGCAGTAAGCATATGTAGATTTGTTTAAAAGACCAAGGTAGAACTACAGTTTTCCTAATCAGTAATGTATTAGAATGTACATTAATATATGTGTATAGGATGACCAGAAAAACCTTTAAGATGTACGTGAAAACAAAGTTGTCCAAAAAATTATAATTACTAATGTCTTCAAAATATTAAAATTACAGAAGTGCCCATTTGTGTAGATAAGGTTATATTATAGTTTTTAAGTTTTAATGTGTGATTTAAAATGCAGTTTTACTCAAACATCTGTGGAACCCATGACATTTTTCTGAAAAACTATGATTTTGTAAAACACAGTAAGAAAACTGCTGCTGTAAGTTATAAGAAAAATTCAGAAATCAAAACTGTTATTGAAAGTAATTCTGAGATGATCCAAGCTATATATAAAACTAGTTTTCAGATTTTGTTTCTTAAATACTCTTGACTCTGAAATAATTTGATTAGTGAATTATTAGACAGTAGTAAAGCACAACTTTACTGTCATGTAAATTTGGAATCATACTCCAGGCCTTGCCACTTACCAGCTGTGTGACATTGGACATCTAATGCCTCTAAGCCCATTTCTTTAAAATGAAGCTGTGTAGCAGTCAGCTGGGATGATGCAGAGTTCCTAGTACACTGCTAAGATTCAGTAGGGAGGAAGTAGAAATTGGATGCTGTCATAATTTATAACCCTCTGTTAACAGTTCAAGCTATAATAAAGATCTCGAAGACATACAGTATAGACACTTACTGGTGGTGGAGTATAAAATTTACCCCACACTCTTTCAGAAGTACACCCGTAAGACTTCAAAAGAGTGTCTGAACTTTGTATAAGAACTGAAAAGTTTAGTGGGTATTTTTTTTGTTGTTTTGCTTTACCATATTTCTCCTAGTAGTAAGCAGGCTGCTTAGGTAAAACATTGTCATAATATCATTCATGGAATTATTTGCACTGTAATATGTTAAGGAAGTTATTAAGTGTCAGAATGAGGTTTACTTAACACCAGGTGAAAGCTGGCTTTCACTTACTTGCACTTGTCTTCCAGGCAAGTGCTATTTTGTGCTGTGGCTGAAGTAGTCACAGTGCCTATTGCGTCATGAAACTGGGCTCTTTCCTTTGCAAAGTAGGATTTGACACTTCTCAGCTTTCTAAAGTTGAAAAATACAAGGAGCTTTCAATTTAGTATAATAAATGAGACAATTACATAGTGTCCTCACTAATATAAAAGACAGGCAAGTAAGCCCTTTTTTCATAAAATGCATGAGAAGAGTTAATTTACATGATTGTAGAATTATAATAGCAGCTTGGGTTAATGACTAAAGTTATGAAAAAAGTACCATTCCTCACTATTTTCTTAGTAACCCTTGATACTTACCCTAACTCTAATTCCTAACTTTTAGGTCATTTAAAGAATGATGACCTGTCTGCCTGACACTTCACACCTATTAAATTAGATCTGAGTAGTCAATACTTCCATACCTCTTACACTAAAATCAGTTATTTATGTATATTCTGCAGGTGCGTAAGCATCATGACACTTTTACAGAAGAGAGAAAACAGCTTGTGCCTTTCTTTCTTCATAAAAATTCTTTTCTTTAGTTATGCTGGTCTGAGTCTGGCTGGTAGTTAGGGAATATAGTTGAGCTCACCTTAACAGACAGCACCTTTTTCTCTGAAGTCCTCTTGCAAAGTCCCTGTCCCTCAGCTGTTGGCAATTCTTTTTTAACAGTATGCTCCACTTTCTTGCTTTGAGTTTATATAATCATACTTGTTATTTACTAAATGTACACCAAATAACCCTGGATACCTGAAGCATTGGCTAGAAAAAAATAGATTGTAAGTCATTCTTATATTTGGTGCTCAGCACCTCTCATATTTTGAGTTAAATCTACTCTCAGAGTTGTACACTATACAATTTACAACGTATATAGAAGAAAATGAGGCAACACAGACTTATTTTTAAGCCATTTATGAGCCATATCATCAAGAGGAAATTGGTCACTCTTAATTTTCTTCTTTTTTCCATTCTTCTATGATTCGTCCTTTAATTTTGAAAATTCCACTGTTAGGAGTGATGGTTACACAATAATTGAGAAAACTAATAAATACGTGATATTATTATCGTTGTTTGTTTGTATGACTCTGCTGGTGGGAGAAGATGAAGTGGGAAGACTAAACGCCAGTATCATTATCTATTCTGGTGACTGAGTAAATAGTGATGCCATTAGCTGAAACACAAAATCTGGGTAGTAGAACAAGTTTTGGTTAGGAATATAATGAATTCAGTTGGGAATATATTCGGTGTGATTTACTTATAGGACAATCTAAGTGTCTGTTAGAGACTTTGGTATTCATAGAAGAGATAAGAACAAAAAGCATAGCTTGGGAATCATGAAAATACGAGTACAGTGGTACCTTGGTTTATGAACTGAAGTTGTTTCACTGTTTTGGGGAAGATGGCTGGGTTTGCACTTGTGTGGGGAAGATGGCAGTGGTCGGTCGTGTTTGTCACCTGATGCAGAGTTTTCAAATGGAAGCAAAATCTTGCTGAGTGCTTCAGTTCGCAAACCGAATTGTTTGCAAACAGAAGCATGCGTGAGCCAAGGAATTACTATAATAGTTAAAGTTTATGGGTCTGTATTAAATCAGCCAGGCTAAAAAAAAAAGATTAAAAAAGAAGGCTAAATGCAGACCTCTGGGATGAGGGCATTGGCCGTAAAAAATGGAGAAACAGCCATCAGAGAGGCAGGAATAATAAAATAATGGATGGAGAAGAAAAGTAGGAAAAAGGTACTGTCACACATCTCACGGGATTGACAAGAACTCAACATGGAGTGAGTCTTAAGAAATTGCTTCTGATCGCAGCAGCTTTAGTAGGCTGTTGGAGTACATACTCCATCGCAAAGTTAGAGGAATGGATTACTGCTGATAAAACGCACACTACAAGATGTGTAGGACAGCAAAGAGTGATGTGGAAGGCAAAGGGTAGTGGTGAGGGAAGGACAGAATCCTTCAAAGGACTGTGTCACCTAGGGTGGTCTAACAGTAGTTTTATGCAGTGCAGATCAGTTAAGGATAATAGGACGTTAACTATAAGATTGGACTTCACAGTTACTGCGTCAAGACCCATCCCTCCTTGTTTAAAAGAATTTTTCGCCTGCTATGATTTCAGACGGGTAGGCTCTAGCCATGCCTCCCCTAGGTTTCTAGTTGACTCTGTTTATAATGTTGCCATTGTGCTAGATAGAGCCTTGTTTGTCATTCCTAACCAATTAAGGCATGATGCTAGGATGTTATATTTCTCATGTTTTTACAATGTAATGATACTGGGAATTATATTTATTTCAGCAGGTATTTCCTATGGACAAAGCAACAGTGACATTGAAGCCCTACATGAGGCCTATTGTCTTGTAGCTCATTCTTTGGGAGAGGCAGATGAACAAAGAACTGAGAGTAACACAATGGAAATTATCAAGAGCTCAGGGAATGATCATCCTCAAGAAAATGAGGACTCTTCCAAACACATCTCCACTACTGAATCTGGTAAAGGCTAATCAATAGAATTTTTCAACTATTTGAGACCCTCTGTAAAAACAGTTTCCTGTATTACAACTTAAATACATTTGCTGTGGTGATTATTTCTCAGTCTTTGCACTTAAAAAGGATTTGCTTCAGATGGAACGTTAGAGCTGTACACAGGATGAAATTTCAGTTCTTCTAATATACTTTGACCAAATTAACAAATCACATAAGTTGACATTTTTTACTCTATGCATTTATACGTATTAAAGTACTTTAATAGAGGATAGTGTGTTGACATCAACTAGTGTACTCAGCAAATGTGTGTGTTTTATGGGTATAAATGCTTGCCGTTGATATTTGAGATAGGTATTTGATGTTGATATTTGATACATACCAAAGGATGCCTGTTGGGTACAAACAAGTATGTGGTGGGAAGCCAGGCTTACTGTACTTGCCATTCTCTTAACTATGTCAGTTTGAGAAAATGTAATTCTAAGGATATTATACACATAAATTAAACAATTCGTGTAACATTTGTGGCTTCTCTATTTAACTGTTTTTCCTCTTAGATCTGCCCACAGTGGAGGAATTGATGAAACCTATCAGGATAGATTCCACTGGAGTCAGTAGTTTGGATTTACAGCCTCTAAGGTACAAGTCTTTTTGGAAAGTATTGTGCAGGGTTCATTGGCTGATTGTAGTAGGTTTTGTTTGCTTATGTATCATTGGAAATTTTTATAGTCATTTGTTCTGTGCAGTTATTCCTAGTGAATGATTAATAACTAGTGTTAGCTTGTATGCATCTACCTTTGAGTCACTGAATTAATTCTTGTGCTATTAAAAAACTGCTACCAAAAAAGTTGCTACTATTAATTAGGCATATTGCTTTTCACGGAAAAAATATGATCTCTTCAGCTTTGAATAGTTGGTTCACAGTGAGGGGGAAAGTGTACTTATTTATATGAATCATACATTTGCTCTTTTATAAGCCAGTTAGTTTGACTAAGTCACAGACTGACCATTGTTGTCACAGAACGAGTTCTCTTAGAAAAACCCTCCCCCTCCAATACAGTTTAGTGGTGTGTGTAACTCTGCGTAGCATATCACAGTGACCCTGTCATAGACAGCTCTGCGTTTATGTAGCACTTAGAGTGTCATAGCCATGTCACATCTGTCTGTCGCATGGTAACACTGGAGACAGGTGTTTTATCCTCACTATTAAAATGATGAATCTGGATCCAACCAAATTTAGCAGTGGATCTTTTACAAGAACCAGATGGTGATGATAAAAGCTCACATTCATCACATTCACATTCACTTTGGACAGGTGCTGTGCATAATTCCTTACATACATTGTTTCATTTACTTTTTCACAACTCCGTAAATGCAGTCCATTATTTCCTTGTTTCATAGATAAGAAAACTGAAGTTTAAGGTTAAAAGAAAATAATTGTCCAAGATCATATGACCGTAACCAGAGACACAGGCGGTCCATGTGCTTAAACACTTACCTTGTCAGGTCTTTGCTGTCCTTGAAATATTTCTTTTAGCCACTCACCTAAGCATTTGCTCACTTGTGCTTTCAAGAGACACAATTTGAGCCCCTAATGTTATCATGAGAGGCCACTTGCAGTGATTTCTTGTCATTGTCTCCACATCTGTTAGGTGAGAGAAGGTGACGGTTAAGTTTACACTAAAACCTATCTACTTGACTCCTAAGATTAGTATTCTTCCCTTGACCTGTACATATTAAAGTATTTTAACAAAGGATAGTATATTGACATCAACTAAGTATATAGCGCTAATTAGCATTTTTAAAGAGATGATGTTTGCTAGTCTTTGTTTTGGGGGTGTATTGATGTTATTGAAGCAACTGTCTTACACATCTTGTGTTTTTGTTAGAAGTGAAATCACTTTAGTAACAAGAACTCTAGATAGGTTTTTATGTTTGTGTTTAAAAGCTGGAAACAGATACATAAGAAAGATAACAATAATTTTAGAAATGGCAGTAATACAACCTTGAGTACATATACATAAAAACCTGCCTTTGTAAAGCTGATGAGTAATCCTAGCTGCTGTAACAGATAACCCTCGAAGTTCGAGCAGCTAAATATCAAAAACAAATTTCTGGCTTACCGTACCAGGTGCGTCACTGGGGTTAGGATGCGGCTCTGCCCCACATAGTGGCCCAGCCACCGTGAGCATGAAGCGGGCAGCTTCTCTCCACAGCCCCTTCCGGCACGCTTCCCTGCCTTGGAACCGGCCGGCTCTGCACTGAAAACAGGAACCAAATAAGCCTCTCCTCCTCCCAGTTGTGGATGTGCAGGGTTTTGTCCCAGTGACAAGAGGATGACTTAGGCACTGTTTCTGTCACCAGCCTGTAGATTCAAGGTTGGCAAGGCATCATCCAACGAGCCAATAAGAAAAAGAAGGGCTTCCTTCTAACCCTCTTAACACAGAAGTGCCACGTCCCTTCATCTGCCATTCTTTCAGTAAGAAGCAGCACTTCTAGCTAGCCAGTCTTAGGGAACGGGGAAATGGGGCTCGCTTGCGTCCCTAAAAGAAAAGCAAATTAGTTTGGTGAAGATCTAGCTAGTGTGTGCCTGAATATTCCTGTGTAATAGCCAGATACCCACTTTATTCTTCTTTACATAAGACTCACTCACCCCTTCCCCAGAGCAGTCCACAGTCCCAGTCAGACTCCCCATTCACGGTCAGGCTTTCCAGTGGAAGTACAGTACAGTCCTGTCCATCAGCTTCGGGTGTGGCTCGTCTTTGCCTACCAGTGGGTAAATGGGAAAGACAAGTTATGTACTTCCTTGCCCCACCCACATAATTGGAACTTACTCCCACTCAGAAAGGAATAGTATGAGGAGAATACAGCAGTTACTGCTGCACCTGAAAACACTGGAAAGACCTTGTGAAGACCTGTACATTGGAGATGGGGATTTTCCTTGATTGGGTTATTGTTCTGCTCTTAAAGAGGAACTTTATAAGTGCATTGTTGTATGTGTCGCCCCTGGTTCCATTCCTTGGAGAGTTTGTCTTGTATGTTATCACCATTGCAACAGTCAAAGTAGATTTTGTAAGGAGTGTGCCCGTCTTTGGGGATATACTCCTGTCCACTTCCTATACGTGTTGGTAGTTTTAAGGCTTTCATTTGACCACTTTGGCGGTGGTTTTGCTTGTAAATATGATTGTGGGCCTTCAGAAAGTTCAGTAGCATTCCAACCTTATATCAGTAACCAAACTTAAAGTTATTTGCTAAGTAAAGGATTTCAATCTGCATTGTCTCTTTGGTTCTTGAATCCTCTAATATTTCTCTTCATGTGCTTAAAATTGTGCATTTGCGGGGACAGTAACCGCAAGTGTGAAAAAGATCCCTTTAGCATGGCCTTTGTGAAGGGACTGAGTTAGTCTCCAACGGAGCGGTGTCATGAGATCTTGGTTCTCGTTTTTCCATTGTGGGTCTTCCTGTGTGGTTCTCATGTAGACACACAGAGTGAGACCTGAGTTTCTAGACTCTTTTTGTGCCCTTCCAGTTATACTTACAGACCAGCCATTCAGTCATGAGCTCATCTTTTTTTCTTTTTTTTTTGGTAATACCTTGCTGAAAGCAGTCAGGAACCCCAGCACTGAAAAATTACCTGTTCTTTTCAGCAATTTGTCTTGGTCCTTCATATTCAGTGGGTATGTGGTCTGCTATAAGCTGTGGTGGTGGTTTAGTAAATGTTTTCACACTAAAACATCAGCTGCCATCTCTCTAGCCTCTGCTGTCAGTTTCCTGACACCCAAAACCTGACCACTGTGCTACTTACATAAATTTTGGGTTCTTAGCATCCTAACACTCACATTTAATAACTTTTTTTTTTGTACTGGGAGTCAAACTCAGGACTTCGCTCTTGCCAGGCAGGCACCATTCTGCTGAGCTATATCCCCAGACTCCTTAACCCTCACATTTTAAAGGCAGATTGGGCCCATCCACATGAAAGGTGGCTAAGAAAGATAGTTTAGCTGATAGCCAGCAAAAATAGGAAACTTTGTTTTTGCATTTATTGGGGATTGAACCCAGGGCCTTCACCTGAGCTACATCCCCACCCCCTTTTTACTTTTTATTGTGAGATACAGTCACTAGTGAGTTGCATTGGCTGGGCTCAAACTTGAGACCCTCCTGCCTCAGCCTCTGGAAGTACTGGGATTACAGGAATATACCACCATGCAGTATCTAGCCAGGTTTTGAAATAACTGTTATCTATTTCGATTATTTCAACTACTTTACAAGTTCATAATGGTTGTTGAGAAGCCAGTCTATATAATATGAAAATGGAGCCTCCTAAGTAACTGTTCTTTAATCTTACTTTATAAAGTGTAAAATCAGATGACCTAGTTGACCATGATGAAGTAATTTGAGAGTAACAGTTTTGACATTTTCGGAGACCCTGTAGTTTGTATTTAATCATATTCAGGGCGTACCATTGAAATCTGTTTTCCAGATTCTCAGTATCTAATTTGTCTGAATTGTTTCGTTTCATGCAAGTAGTTTAAACCATAAATGATTTTATTTTAAAACCCTAGCGATTTATTTTTACTTCTGATTTTTTTCTATACTGTGACTATAATATCTATACTCTATGATTCTGTGGCATAAATTATAATTACTTCTTTAATTTCTCACAGAATTGTGTAAGTTTTTCCTGCTTCCAACTCAGATTGACTTAATAAATTGTAGCTAAAATATGATACAAAAAGTTCATTTAGAAATTTGTCTTACTTTCTTATACAAAAGCAGTCTCAGCCTTATTTGGTTTGTCCTTGGCTTTAAAGTCAGGTCTCAGTATCACTTGTATGTTATACTGCGTAATCCTTTATTATCCTGCATTAAAAATATCTGAAATTAGTAGAGTGTGGTGGCACATGCCTGTAATCCCAGCTTTTGGGAGGCTGAGGCAGCAGGATCACCATGAGTTCGAGGCCAGTGTGTGCTACGTATGAGGCCAGCCCAAACTGCAAAGCAAGACCCTATCTCATAGTCAACAACAGCAAGAAAAGAAGTTTTATCTGAAATTAAAAACAATTATGGGGGCTGGGGCTTTAGCTCAGTGGCACAGCGCCTGGCTGAGAAGTGCAAGGTCGTGAGTTGGATTCGCGGTACCGGGAAAAAAAGAAAAGAAAAGAAAAACAATTATGTATACTATGTCAGTATCCTGTATTAACCAGAACTGTAAATGTACTTAACATTAGTAATTTAATTTGAATAGTTATGACACAAATATATGTGTGTACATATTTAACTGATACTTGGGAACTCACACTAAACAGTTTATTCTGTGTCTTGTTTGTTTGATAGCTCTCAGAAAGTGACTACGAGTAAAGACGCCGTAAATATTCACTCTGTACCCTTTAAGATAAATGCAAATACTACGTCTCAAGACCCAAGAAATGTAAACCACCTTTTTGACAAAAGTGACGAGAACGTGATTTTACAAAAGGCAACAGAAAAGAATATGGAAAATAGCTGTTCAACAATAACTGTTGCAGAAGAACATATTGATAAAATGTACCTTGATATTTTGAGGAAAAAAATATCTGTTAATTCTTCACCATTATCTCAGGATGACAGAATTAATAAAGTAAGTGCTTATAATCGAAATTGATTTGTTATATTGAAAAACAAAGTTATGTAGAATACCGAAGTACTGTGAGAAAAGTGTGTACTTCTTGAGCTAGCAGGGTTCATTTACATAACTCAGCTCCACAGCAGATTCTGGGTATTTGCAGGTGTCCTTATTACCGCACCTTCTAATCCCCAAATTCAGAAACAACACTGTAGTACTAGCTTTCTTTTAGCAGCGATTGTTTACATTTTTATTTCTTTACCTTTGTTTTAGTGAACAGAATCCAGAATTTATACAGTTTAAGCAAATAAAAGTTACTCATGCCTGTATTACTCACTGTTCAATCTTTCCAATAGTTTGCACTGTGTGTACGTTGGCGTTTTATAGGAACTGTGGAAACTTATGTCACTATTCCTTGCCCTCTGAGAACTATTTTTGTTCTGTTTTCTGCTTTATAATACCCATGGTCCCAATGTTGTTTGCATTCATAATTTTGAATTATGTTTATTATAAATCAGTTCTGGTTCTTTGTGGAATAAGGCAAGGTATTAGTAAAAATTTTAAAGAATCTTAAGAAGTCTAGAGAAAAGGATTTCAAATGTCATTTCAAAGTATGTTTTTCCTGGATCTCTTTGTTCATTCTAGTAATCACACATTTTTAGTTTTCTGACAAGTTTGCTTTCTTAATCTTTGTTATTTTGTTGTAATGCTAATTTTGAAAGTATGCTTTAAAACACTAAAATTCAGATGAATTAGAGGTTTTATTATTTCCCTTTTACAAACCACAGAGTTTGATGATCACTATGTGTGATAAATCTTCATTAACAGTAATAGTTGAAATCATTTAAATGCTGAAGTGTTTGTGTTTATTGCATACAGACTTCTCTTTTTTTTCTTTTTCTTTTTGCGGTGTGATACAGACTTTTAAATCCCAACTGTGCTCTGGAGAAGAAGGGACTGCAATTGGTAAGCAGGCACCGTACAAAAAGGCCAGAAGTGCACCACCTTTGTTTAGAAGAAAACCCCAGAGTGGGTTATATGCCTCAGTTAGGAGCTCAGGCTATGGTCAACCCAGTTCACCACTTAAATTGTTTTCTACTCTTGAAAAGAAAACCTCAAAGGACGTGAAGAGTAAGAACTTGAGACCCATTCCCAGCTCAAATCAAGCTAAGAAAAAAGGTAATGGGATATTCTTTTCAACACAATTCTGTGCACGTAGTATATTACTTTTTTTTTTTTGTCTTATTTTTGTGGAAGAGAATTGATGATAAGAAACTACATTCCTTTTCTAGAAGATGCACTTTACAACAGGTAATGGTCTTGTCCCAGGGTAACAATGGAGGTGACAAAAAGTAGTTGGATAGGGATATATTTAGAAGGGGAAACCAAAAGTATAAAAGAATTGGTTTAGGATTTCTAGAGTTTTTGAAGCAAGCAACTGGAAGAGTGGAATTATTATACTCAGGTCAGGAATGAAATGAATGTAGGGCTAAAGGAAAGACTAGGAGTTTAATTTTTGAGATGATGTTGAGTTTTATATTTGACATGCAATTGGTGATGACAGGGAGGCAGTTAGATATGAGTGTGGAGTTAGAGCGGGATGTTTAGACTAGGTAACATTTGAGAGTGGATAAAACTAAGATGTTTTTAAGCCAGGAAACTCATTGAGAATACCAAAGAGTAAGGACAGCGAGGGGGAAAAGGTAAAGCAACGCTGTAAGCCCAGGCCTACTGAGTTAAGGAGTCGAGCAGAAGAGTAGGAACGTACAGAAGAGACAGTAGGTTTGGAAGAAACCTGGCAGCATAGAGAATCCTAAAACCAAATAAAGGAAAAGGGTTTGCATTGTGTTTTGCTGCACATGGATAAAACTGAAAACTGACCTTTGGTTTTAGCAACAGGAAGTTAGTAAGCGGAAGTGCTTTCCATGGAATAGGGAAATGATGCTTCGGGTAACAGAATGCCCTAAAGCGGGGATGCACACCTGCCTGCCGTGGCACATGTGCCATAGGCTCACCACCACTGCTCTTGAGGAGCTGTGCTGTAAAAAGGCACCAAAACCTGGAGCAGCCGCTGACTTGGGAGGTGGGGTTAAGAGAACCTTACGTTGTCCATCGCTTTGCTTTGTTTTTAGTGGGAGAAGTGATAGTACCTTTGTGGGTCATTAAAGCTTCAGTAGAAAGGAAAGTGATGAACAGTGTGTGGGGTCCCTGGCCCCTTCTCCGGCACTGCTCCCCTGCTCTGCTTCTCGTCCCCCATGAACTAAGCATTTTTGTTCTTCATGTCCTTCCACCATGATGCTCCTGCCTTGGAGCTAGCTCACCATGGACTGTATCTCCTGTAAGCTAAACTAAACCTGCTCTTTTCAATTATGAATGCCACATATTGTGTCTCAGTGATCAGAGATTTTTATGAGAAAAGCTAATACTCTTAATTTTTCCATATTTCAAAATGGTATGTATGACTGCAGAATTTTAAAAACCAGATTACTAAAATTATATTGAAGTATAATGATAGACCATGAGTGTTTATTATTATACTGAGCTACTTTATATTATCTATTAACTATGATTTTTAAATTTTTTTTAGTGAATAATTCCTTACCAGCAGTATTAGTTTTACTGAGAACCGTAATTCCTTTGAAATGGTTGTTACTTGTTGTAGGCTGGGTTCTCCAGAAAGCAGCCTCTGAGATACAGTAGTGTACAAAAGTTTAGAGACTGTATTTGGGATCAACCTTAGTTTGAAAGGGAAAGAAGCCCACTTATGGGAGCTTAACCAGTTACTGGGGTTTTTCATGTAACAGCCTCCAGAGATAGGCAGGTCAAAGCTGGTGCAGCCGTGCAAGGAACCAGCTCCCTCCTCCTGTATGATGCAGAATCTACAGTATGTGACTTCTGTCTTCATTCTCCAAACTGTCCATGAAGTAGGAGGAAAGGTAGATGGCAACCAGATCATCAACTGCTGAGGAAGTACTGTAATCAGTTTGCTGGAAGCACCAGGAAGGAAACTTGCTTCTGTCCTGCTGAGCAGAACTTGGATCTTGTGGCCACCCCCACTTACGTAGATATTGTAGACTCAAATGTGTTTGACTGAGCACATTGTTCCCCCAGACAAAAGCAGGTGTCTGTTAATAAGGAAGAGGCAGAGAACGGCAGCACCTTGCATGTGCTTGTTCTTTTCATTCTAGATGAATTTTCTTAGCTGACTTCTGTGTTTTTATTTTTAGACTAATATATCACTCTTTACAAGTTCTTTTATAAGTAATACTTTCAATTTGGGTTTACTTAGACTTATAAAGCAAAGAAACTTCGTCTAAAGATTTAAGTCCCAAAAGATCCCTTTATGAAAGTAGAGTATGGAAACCACCCGGAGGTTGCCACGGGCATACTTTTTGGATCCCACCTGCACTTTTCAGCTTTTTCATCATTAATCAGTTCTTTCTGTTCTGTGAAATATAAAGCAATATATTCCCTTCTCAGATGTTTTTCTAACTAGTTTTGCTCATTTTATTTCTATTTATTCAAGTATATTTATTATATTTTTTCCTGCAACCATAACTCCCCTCAACATTTGGATTTAGTTCTTGGTTCTGATTATTAAAGAGACAAAGTGCTTCTCAGCAGTTGCGTAATGGGCCAGGGATGTAACTCAGTAGCACAAGTGCCTGCCTGGCAAGTGCAAGGTCCTGAGTTCGATTCCTGGTAGCAACAGTTGCATAGCTATGGTTTCTCCATTCTGGAATCATTTTAGTTGGTTTTTTTTAACTGAATTTTCATAATGCATTATTTTTCATCAAGAATTCCTCCCAGTTTCCAATGTCTGCATTGCTTTCACATTTGAATTCATATTCAAGAAAATTTTCTCTCCTGTGTAAAAGGTGAGGAGAAGTATTGTCCATGAACCATTATTGTAAATAACTATTTAGACCAGGAAGAGAAAACTCAGGTATAAAGACCAGCAGATTACAACTATGAACATAAGCACTACTGTTCCTAGCTGTCAGGTCCTGAGGAGAATTACTTCCTAGCAGAACACATCCATTCCTTGGTCACAGTAAAGAACCTTCAGTGATTTGGAAGGATTCGATGACTATCTACAGTGAGTCAGCTTTTTTTAAAACGGTTTAAGAAATTTCACTAGAAAACCCATACAAAACAGCATAATTACGATCATGACTATGTAAGGGAAAACCTTTGCATGCCTGTGAAAAAGACTGAAATGAAAATTTTGGAAGATACAGTTGAGAAATTGTTTCTTTTGGCTGTTCTATAGTTTCCTTGTGTATTTAATAATCATGTATAACTTTTTAATTTTTTTTCTGTACTGGGAATTAAACTCAGGTTGCACTAAAGCTACATCTCCATCCCTTTTTCACTATTTTATTTTTTTGAGAAAGGATCTCACTAAGTTGCAGAGGCTGGATTTGAACTTGCTATCCTCCTGCTTCAACCTCCTGAGTAGCTGAGATTATGAGTGTTCCCTCAACATTCAATATGCATAATATTTTTAATGCATTTCATTTTTTAATAGAAAAGTAAATTCTACATTTTAAAAGTTACCATTGTGAAGAAAATTTCTTAAAAATATAAAATTTGATCTCTAAGACAATCCGAGCCTGTAATATTTGAATAGGGGCTTTAAAATCCCTTATATATATTTCCTCTAGATGTTATTATTAACTGAATCGGGGGTGGGGATTTAGCTCAGCGGCAAAAGCGCCTGCCTGGCATGCGCAAGGTCGTGAGTTCGGTTCCTGGTACCAGAGAAAAACAAAAAAAAACAAAAAAAAAAACAAACTGAATAATATGTTGATTTTAGAATTATTTCTGCTCAGGCCATGTATATATCTCTGCAGCACAGTGCTTGCCTGGCAAGTGCAGGGTTGTGAGTTTGATTCCCAGTACCAAAAAAAAAAAATTGGTGCTATTCTTCATGGATTTATAAATTACCTTAAAAGTGGGAAATTGGACCAAAATCTTCACTAATCACATTTTTTCTAATTTAATTCATTACTGTCATATGGTAGCAGGATTATTAACCTTTTAAAATCAAATTTAGGTTAGCTATTGTAAAATCCTTTGTGCATTTCATATATATCTTGTTACTACTTGTGAACTGAATCTGAACTGAAATAAGTCATCAACTGCTTTTTACTTTTTGACTCGTTTAGAAATTCTTATAGTTGTGAACATACAAGGAATAATTTGTTTGCAATTAGTGAATAAACCCTGAAGTTATCCCAGTTCAGTCTCCTCACCTTTATTTCGCTCATTTGTCACTTGACATGGATCTTGGGTCAATTAGCCATCTGTGTTACATCAAGTCGAATACTGATCATGTGTAGCAGTTTTCTGATTGCAGGTATAGTGAACCAGCTGTTCTGTCTGTTCCTCATCCTACGTAGGGTCCTCATTTTATCTTAGTGTTCCTGGTATTTTCATACTCATGTGTTTCAGACGGATTGCATATTCAGCTTTACATTGTTGGTGCTTTCCTCCATTGTTTCTCATATTTAGAAATATTATCCGGAACAAAACTCATCAAGCCTGCAGCTTTGAGTAAAGCAGCCCCCGAAAGTGAAAATAGCCTGGCTGCTCCTAAGAAGTCTGAAGAGCCTACAGCAGCTGGCTCTGGTGCTCAGTTTCAGGCTGTAGGTATTAAATTTCACTTCAGTATTTATACTTGTTATGTTCTAAAATTACATTAAAACTAAATCACAAATACACAATGCAGAACTATAAATGTGTGGAAAGATCACAGTAAATCCCATTAATATGTATAATTAGTGTGTATTAATAAAAAGGTGTAAATGATAAGATGTAATAGACATGGAATTTCTTTTCTTTCTGGTAGAACATTATTAAACATGTCATTTTTATTCTTTAGTCTTGCTTTTTTCCTAACCACCTATATTTGAATTTTATATGTAAAACTACTATAATAAGAGAATGTTTTTCTTTAAAAGGAATTTTCAGGACATGGTGAGAACAAAGAGAAAGAATTGTTTATGCTTAAAAGGGTTCAGGAAGCGGAAGAAAAATGGAGAGGTTCAGAAGCCCTGATTGAGCAAATTAAAGTCACGTTCTCAGAAAAAGAGAAAGAACTGGAAAATAAATTGGAGGAACTAAAGCAACAACAGGAAAAAGAACTGTTCAAGTTAAGTCAAGAAAATTATATTCTTCAAACCAAGGTACTAAACACTGTTCTGTTTTTCCCTTTATTAAAAAAAAAAACAAACCTCAGAACAACAACAGTAACAAAGCCCCTTTACTCTCTGTTAAATGCATCGCAGTCCTCATTCCCTGGAGACGACTTCGTCTGCTTGCTGTAGAAAGTATGGGCTTGGTTCTGGAGAATACCTTCTTACATAAGAGTAAATTGCAGCTCTGGGGTGAAACCGCAACTTAAATTGGCTCATTTTGATGATTTCTGTTAGCAGTTCTTTTTAAATTAGTTTCAGCAAGAACTGCTATGTGAAGGTCTAGACTCAGAATGTCCCTAACATTTGAGTTCTTTTACTCATGAAGCCATTAAAACAAAAGCACCGTACTTACCTGTAATTACGTCATATTCCAATATTATATTATGAAGTAGTTGGACTCTCACCGTATTCAGGTTTCTGTTACTCTTTGTCGCATCTCACTTCGTTTCCTCTCTGAATGAACAATTTCTGCATTTTCTTAAAGTTAAGTAGCTTTGAAGAGACAAATAGAAAACAGAGATGGTTACATTTTGGAGAAACTGCTGATCCTGTCACTGGAGAAAAATTGAAGCAAATCCAAAAGGAAATACAGGAACAAGAGACACTTCTTCAAGGCTATCAACAGGTGTGGCAACTCCGTTCATGGCAAATTTACTTTTGATACTCTAATTACAAAACTTAAGGTCTATTGAAATATTCTGTGCTAATTTAACAGGCAGCTCTGAGGCAGTAATAGTTTGACTGGTCTGCACATTTGTCACTGGCAGATTAAAAAGCCGGACTTTGAGTCTTAGCTACCACCTGCTGTGCAGCCACAAGGAAATCACTTCACCTCTCTAAGCAGGTTTCTTTGGACCAACTTCTTAGCAAGGACTACACAGTCTTAGTCTGACACACAATAACCAGTTAAGTGCTGCTTGTTACAAGTTTGATAGTTAGGTTCCTTAGTAACTGTTTTCTTTTTTTTTTTTTTTTTCCTGTTTTCTACAAGGCTCTGTAGTAGATGGTATTGGCTAGTTTTGCTGACATTCAGAAATGTGAATCTGAAATCAATCCTTAACGCCATGAGGGTGAACAGTGTTTTAATTTAATGTGAGATCTGTTTACAGAGCCACTCATTGTGTTTCTAGTGAGTGATGGAGTCTTAGTGATGCTTACCTGACGGCCAGGGTAGGTTTAATAATCTTCATATTATCTTCATTCCTTGCCTCCCACGCCCTTTTTTTTCATTTTCCTCTTCTTTCTCTTCTCTCATTGTTTTTCTGACAAATAGTCTGAGCACTGAGCCGTGCTTTATTACCCAAGGATGCTCGGATAAGACATTTGCCACACCAAAGATTGCATCATTTGCTGTAAATGAGATAGCCTGACCGTGCAGGGCATGCTGCCCTCAAATTAGTGAGACCTGGTCTCACTCTTTATCTGCCATTGATCGTAGCCTGTGAAGCAGGGGTTTTTAAGATTTCATAGGCCCATACATATTTCACCCAACCTCTCCCATGAAGATAACATAAAAGTTACGTGCCTCAGTATTGGGGGCGTTGTTAATTCTGTATGTACTGTATTTAAGTGCCATCTGCCAGGCGCCATTCCAGGCACGGTGAGATAATCCACTATTTTTATTAGCTCCTCAGAAGCCTTTGATTTTCATCAGATTCTTAATTTTAAAAGGGGTTAATAAGCAAAGCGTCTAAACACAAATCGGTCCTTTCTCTTCTTTTAGTCTCAGCTAGATTGAGTCACTCAGGTCCCGAGGAAAACTGGGTCTGTGCTCTGCCTTGTTTGATAACTACATGAACACTTGATCTTTAACGCCTGCTTACAGTCATACACAGCCATACCCACGCTGCATCTTGTTATCCCACCGCTGGAGGCCCAGCTTCCAGAACTTCCTCCAGTGGTGATTTTTTTTTCCACTTTTAGGCCAGAAACTGAAGAGGGTATAGAGTCCCACAGTGCACTCCCCCGTTGGCCCAAGGTGGAATGTGGTGATCCCTTCAGCCCCTCACCCTCTGAAACGCAGTACCTTAACCTGACATGAGGCCCTTTAGCTTTGGGGATATTCGCAACTCCTTTCTCACACGAACATGTTAAGCATTTCTGAAAAAAATTATTTTTAGATAATTAAGTTTTAAGATAAGATAAAAAATAAGAAAAAGATTTTACCTACTAAAGAACTTTTTAATAAATTTAAGAAATCTTTAAAATACTCAAAAGAAATGTCTATTATAGGCATGTCACATCAGTACCACTTTTAACTAAAACACAATTTCCTGTTTTAAAAAGGAAAATGAAAAATTATACAACCGAGTAAAAGATCTCCAAGAACAAAACAAGAAAAATGAAGAGCGAATGTTTAAGGAAAACCAGAGTTTATTCAGTGAATTATCTTCTTTAAAGTAAGCCCTTCTGAAATTCTTACAATCAAAAATACTTACAATATTGCTAAGCATTTTATCATTACTGATAGATTTATTTTTTACTTAGAAATATTTATTTTTTTACATTTGTACACTAATTTCCAGCTTAGTAACTTACTGAATAGTCAGTGGATTTTCTTTCCTTATTGGATGACCAGTATATGCTTTAGTATTTTCAGCACGTTTCCATTTGATGGTGGCTTTGGTTCAGGATATTGAATATGTATGGTTTCTCTTGACACCTTGTATCCTGAGAACCTCCAGGTTAGGGATTGCTATTGGGCTAGAGCATTTCTCCAGAGGAGACACCTGTGAGTTCTGTCAGCCAACACTCACTGCAGAGGACTCCCGCCTACTTTCTCATCTTCCAGACTAGCATAGCAGCTCTCTTGGGTGTTACTACCTGTCATCTAAAAAGAACTACTCCAGCATCCAAAACTAATTTTTATGCTGAAGTAAATGTTTTCTTTAATACAACAGGTCTAGATGATCTTAGATATCCTAAATTTTTTGTATATTGTCTCTGGAATAAAACCTGAATAGTAGAGTTCGGTTTTGTTAGTTTCCATGCATAAAATTGGCAATCTGTGTTTCTCAGAAGGGTGTAGATTGAGGATAAGGAGTATTTTACTACAAGAAAAATTGAGCTGGTACATTTTTCTGCACCATTGATTTCTTTTTTCCTCTTGAGAATGGGAGGAAGTATATATATATATATATATATATATATATATATATATATATAATAAATAAACCAGTAATTTTAGAATTTTAATTCTTTTAGAATACATCTAAGCATTTCCTTTAAAGTGTACTTCTCTTTTAGTACATTAGTATTTTAATCTTTAGGATAAATAAAAATTCTATCTTCAGTGCTTAATATAGTTTGATGTTTATTAGTGTTTGTTGAGATTGTTTTACATTGACAGGAATGTCTAGTAAAAGTATCCTTTTATTTTCAAAATAAATCAGAGAGCAAATGCACAGAAGTCGCTTCTTATCCCAAGTAGTTGAAGATTCAGACCCTAACAGAAACCAGAGTTTTACAGATCTGTTAGCAGAACTACGGGTGGCACAGGTAAGTTGCATAAGGATCGTCATTATTACAAATAATCAAGATTATTATAAAAATCTCTGTAAGTGTAAAAATCTGTTTTTGTAATAATGTATGAATAAATTAAATTTTTAAATTTTAAATTTCATACCATGTAAAAATTAAGAAGTAGCTAAGGTTAGCATTTAGTATACATTTGGCTTTTTTTTTTTTTGAGACAGGGTCTCACTATGCAGTTCAGACTGGCCTTGAGCTCACTTTAGTAGCCCAGGCTGTTCTCGAACTCATAACGATCCTCCTGCCTCAGCCTCCTGAGTGCTGGGATTACAGGCATGTGCCACAACACCCAGCTACATTTGGCCTTAATACAGTGGAAATGATGTCCTACTGGCTTTAGATGGCGTCCTCCCTCAGATTCAACAGGCATTGATTACATGGACCCCTGTCAGCATAACTTTTCTGGGACATGTATATATATTTTATTTTAAACAAATTCTACATTGGAAAGCATACAGTATGCAGCTAAAACAGGAAAATAATTTTGAGGTAATTGTTCACCTTAAAAAGTACTAGATGTGACCTCTTGGTCAGTGAATAATGAAGAGGAGAAAGGGAAAGTAAGGGCTCTTTGCTAGTATCTCTGTCTGGAAGATAGTTTTAGATTATAGCCATAGCTCTTTCTGTATGTGCTCAAAATACTTGAGTTTGCTGTGCACAAAGTTCATATTCTGTTGTGCAGTATCTAAGCTTTATAGATGTCCTAAGGTGACAACGTATGGTAGATAAGAAGTAGAACTAGTGAGTCAGCTGGCTTGTAAATATCTCGGTGTTACAGTGAATAGAGAAGGTGCATCTGGGAACTGCTCCACCACCCCGGGCAGTGTGTGTGAAGACCTGTCATTAGGCTAGCTGAGGAGCAGAAGAAAGCAAACAGAGAAGTGTGCATTGTGTTCAGATTTACATGTTGCTAAGAGCCATTTTGATGTGTGTGTATCTTCTAGGTGAACTGTAGGAATATATTAGTAATTCATTGAGAACGTACCCTCTTGCTAATATTTTAATAGAGATTGGATAACTCTTAGAAACATGCTTAGTGTAATCTGTTGCTTTATGTCTCATTTTAAATTAAGCTTTAAGGAAATGAGTAGTTTAATTGTAATTCTACCAGTTTTATAGGTCTGTTGCCATTTTTATCTTCAGTGAAATTTCTAACCCCAAGGCAGTATAACAGTTTTTTGTAACAGGTTGAGTTGGTATAGTATATTCTCACTTATCAAAAATACTTTTGTAGCTTTGGGATTTTGACTTGTTGACTATTCATTATATGTGGAAAATCATAACACACTATATGATCTCAGCCACACAGAATAGCAAGTTGTGCGTGTACATGTAAGACACTGCCAGCTTCTGACTGCAGATGACTTTATTCTTTGCTTCTCAACCAATATTAATTGGTTGTTTACTTATCTTCCAGTGTGAACAGTATACTTTTATAGAGCAGAGATTGTATTTTATAAATACTTGTGTCTTATCTACCAAAGCTGAAATGCAATGTTTGTCCGTAACAAATTGAACGGTAAAGAACATAGCCTAGAATTTTCTAACACCAGTGGGAGAAGGTTTGGAATTCTGAGCAAATTAATTCTAAGTAGAAGTGTTTTATATGTTACATGATTTGCATATTCTTGTCCCCCCGTGCCATATGCTCATATCACCCACCAGACATTGTAACAGTCAAAACCACTCTGTCAGCCACGCGTGGTGGCGCACGCCTGTAATCCCAGCACTTGGGAGGCAGAGGTGGGAGGATCGCAAGTGAGTTCAAGGCCAGCCTGGCCTGCATAGCAAGACCCTGTTTCCAGAAACCTCTCTGCCACATGTCCAAACATCCCTTATGCGCAGTTACTTCTCCCCATACTTCCTCTTGAGACATACAGCACTAAACTAAAAAGCCTTTCCAGTCTTTGTGAATGATCACTTACATTTAAAATTCTAATTACTGTAAGCTTACTGTACACTTAGGAAATGTACCATCGTTTCATAGCTGATGTTTGACAGGTTTTCGTAGTGTATAAAGTGCAGCTTTGCATATGAATCCTTTAAATGAACTTTGTTCAGACGCATGTAGGTATGTGTTTGTAGAATTAGACATACAGGTAGGCAGATTGGTGGAAAGAATGGTTGGACAGCTCCTTCCTTATCAGTGGACCTCAAAAATGAGCTCGTTAAGTTTACCATATTTTATGAAAGCTTGAAAGAATAAAGTTTCAAGCATAGCATTAGCTTCACTGAAAAGCCGTTGTTAGTGACCTTTTAAAAGTTCTATTTTTATGACAACTAGAAAATTTGGAAACTTTCACTGAAAATACCAAAAAGTACTATATAAAATATAATAAACATCAGCTGATTAAATTTATTTCGGGTTTCCAGAGCACTGCAGTGCAAATTATGTTTGCTAGTAAACAAAGGGAGAAATCTAAGAAAGCCACTGGTATACAAAGTTCATTGTTCTTGGAAACCAGGGGCAGAATTTGGCTTCAGCTCATTCATGGAACTGCCATTGCTGGGCAAATGTTCTATTCAGAGTATCTTATCTGGATTGCTGAAGTGTTGAAAAAATGTTTAATACAAACTTTGTAACCGAAATATGTGACTATGTCTCTGGCTTGCAAAAGCAAGAGGCATATTTACAAAGTGAAAAATTTCTTGTTGGTTATTTAGAAAGTCCTTGCAGCAGTATTTAATTCAGACAAGGAGGCATCCTACTCCATTTATAATACTTGTCAATCATAGTGAAGCCTGAATTACGTGATACTGACAGTCATGGTAAGGCCTGCCTTAACTCAGAAGAAACACCAGATAGTTTCACAGAGGAGTGATATTAACTGGCTCTAGCAGTTCGTCTGGCTGCCTTGAAGAAAACAGACTGTAGGGGCTGAGGATGAAAGAGGCATTCTAGCTAGGAGGTTGCTACAGCAATCCAGGGAAGAAAATCAGTGAGTATCAATATGGTTAGTAAATAGAACAGAGAACAATAAGTTAGGATTCTGTAATAGCCCTGTTGAGATCTTCGGCACTAATTCTAATAGGTTATTGGGAGCTACTAATGGTTCAGGGATGGGGCAGATGGTAGTATTAAAATCAGGCCTAAAGTATAGGAAAACATTTCACAACAGTATTTTCGATAGATTGAGTGAATAGACTATGTAATAGTTTATTGTGTTCGAAAGTTACTTGCCTTTATATCTATTTGACTATTTAAGAAAGAAAAAAACAGCTTGTTGGAAGACATCAAAAGACTGAAGCAAGACAAACAATCTCTTGAGGTAGACTTGGAAAAAATGAAGAAAGAGCGGGACCAAGCCAAAGATCAGATCGCCTATGCCACCGGTAAAACACTGAGCTGAAACATTATCTTTTATACTCAGAACTGTTCTGATCTTGAATTTAAAGGATCTAAGTTTCATGCCTTTTATTGAATGTCTTGTGTAATTGTACTGTTACTCTAAAGTCTGTTAAATAGATTTGGTTGGTATGATTAAAATTCTGTTCCTTGAAGTGTATTATAATCTTAAAAGATGTGTGCTTGTATTGGTTTGACAGGAATTCTTGAAAATCACGTATTATTTTGAATTCATAGCACTCTCGTGTAGGTACTAGCCTGTGAACTTCTTTAGGGCAAGGTCTTTTTATCCCCCAGTCTGAAACATAGTCTCTTAAGTATATGCTAAATGAACAAGTAACACCACAGTGTGTTTTAATGAGAATCTAAGGATAAATCTGACATGGTCCCCGCCAGGAAAAACAAAAGGGACTAAGATAAGAATGCAGAAAACTTTTTAAAAATTACAAATAAACATGAGAGGAGATGAGTGCTAAAAGTTTCAAGAAGAGTAACATTCGAGCTGGGCTGTGACAGTAAGATTTGACGTCAAAGGACTAGGGGGAGGCTGCTCAAGGGTGTGCCAGGAGCACACTGGTCAGTGCGCTGCAGCTTGCAGCTGAGGATGAGAACACAGTGCTAGAAAGATCAGACGAGCGCTGCTGGCCAAAGCCCGGACCTTTCCTCTGCAGTATAATCAGTGTCACTAAGATAGGAACAAAAAGTGGTGTTCCTTCAAGTGTGGGAACAACAACCCAAAGAAAGCCACTTGATTTCCTCATCTATGAAATAGAATGTAAGTGTAGGCGTTCTTCATTTTACTATCTGAATTCATTTATTTCCCCGTGGGAACAACTTCAATTTCATAGTGAATGTCAGTAGGAAAACAACTATCAAAAATTTCTAGAAAGCCAACTTTTGGCTGGTTCAGTATTTTGATTATGAATATAATTTCTCATTCCAATAGACACCATACAGTGTATCAGTTGTTTTATAGCTTTTATTTCTTCATAAAGTAGGCATTATTATTCAAAATCTTGTAATTTTATTTATTTCTATATTTTGAAAAATTACAGTCAGGTTAGTGAGTTACTTTATTGTACAGGTGAAAAATTATATGAAATAAAAATTTTGGAAGAAACACATAAACAAGAAATCAGTCACCTGCAAAAAAGATTACAGTGGTATGCTGAAAATCAGGAACTTCTGGATAAAGATGCAGTTCGGCTTAAAGAAGCAAACGAAGAAATTGAGAAGCTGAAACGCGAGGTAATAGATCCTTTCAGAATGTATCTCTGTAGGTGAACCCTGTTGTGCGTGTTATTCTGCATAACCTTGTGTAATTGTACTGGAAAGTCTCTTAGTTTAAATAGGTGGTTTGGGTTGGGGTTGGTATTTAGATATATATTATATTTCAGATCAAACTAATGCAGGCTCTGTCAAAATGTCAGGTCTGCATGTAGCCCGGACCTTTCCTGCCTCCTCGGCCGCATCTGGAACCACGCGCTCCCGTTACTCTCCGCTAGTCACGCCAGAGCTCCTCTGATTCTTTATCCTACCCGGCCCTTTCTGCCTGTTGCCTTGGTGGGGAATACGCTGGCCTTGCCTCGTCCCATGACTCATTCGTTGTTTTGGGGGGTTTGTTCTGTTTTGTTCTGTTTTGTTTCCAAACAAGTTTTATTTCCTTTGAGTCTTCTTAACCTCATTATATGGAACGAGAAGCTGCCACTGAATAGGGCCCAGTGTGGGGGCTGCTTTCTTTTCTACTCCCCACTACAAATATACACACACACACACACACATTCCCAAACTCTTGTGCTGTTGCGGGAGGGAAGGGGTAGTGAGTCCCTGTTTGTACTGTGTCAGCGTGAAGCTCTGCGACGCTTCAGACAGTACGGCTGGCATCCTGAGAAGCTATGCTTGTCGCATGGAGTCGGCGGCTGAGAGGGGGACTAGCATATTTTTCATTGCGTTCCCTTCTTTGGTCATTAAGGTAGAGGCATTTTCAGACTCAGGGAGATATGGTGAGTGGGGGAGATTTAGGGACAAAACACACCTCGGATTGGCCCAAAGGACCCCCGCTGTAACAAGTCTGCGTTAGGGAGTCAGACAGAGTACAGGAAACAGGAGAAAGGCAGGGGCAGAGTGGGGCTGTGGGAGGCGGGCCTGAGGCAGGGTTCCGGCTCCGGCTCATTGCTCTCTCTGGTCCTGGGGCCGGGGTGTGGGGCCTGAAGAGCCTCATCCCTCCGTGAGCTGGCAGTGAGCCCCGGCCCAACCAGGCCTAGCCTGCAGTTGAGACCTGATGCGGGGTATCCGGACGAGTTCCTAGCAGACCTTTCCCAGTCACCGTGACAGGCTGTGACCTGTCTTGCCGAGATAGGAGTAAGCACCTGCTACCTGACACGCTGAGGGCACTGGGCAGGAGGCGGGAGCCCAGGCTTCATGATGACGTTGGGCCGGAACTAGCAGGGACTGAGCTTGGCCAGGCTGCTTGCAGTAGAGCTGTGGGTCTGGCTGCTGCCGCCGTCTCCTGTCTTGGCTTCTGGGTTCTCTGACAGGACCAGGCACCCACTGGCTGCCTTTGTGCATGCTAGTGCCCAGGCCTGGCGGCCCTGCAGGCCGAGTGCCATGAAAAGGAAGGCTGGGGGAATTCTTCATCGGTGGAGAATTTTCTTGGTTGCTGTTGCTACAGCCAGTGCTTGTGCCAATGCTAAAACTGCGCCCAGCTCAAGGTGTTTTCAGAGCAGGAAATGGGCAGTCCGTTGTTACTTCTGGGTAGAGGTCGAGGGCCTCTCTTCTTGTTACGCCCACATTCACAGTGCTGCTTAGGCCGCGACTGTTGTGCACATGATTTAGCATCCAGGCCCTTAGGTTAGGGAGGCTGCTGTGCTCCGACAGCGCAGTTGGGGGCCCTGGGTTACGTTCTGCCATATCCAGAGCTCGTCCACCTGCTCAAACAGTCCCACAGGGTATCTCGAGGGAAAGGCCAGTGGGGGTGGGGGGCTGGCACGCCCACTATCATGACCAGCTGCAGGGATGCTGTTTACAGAGCATCCAGTGTTGTGGTTGCTTTCAAGTGTGTAGCTTTGGAGGCTTTGGAGGTTGCCACATGGCCGGCCGCTTCCGTCTTTGAACTGGCCATCTCTACGGTCTCGGGCATACATGTTCTGTGAGAAACTGCAGCCCCGGAAGTCAGAGTAGGCTGAATTCAAGGAGATGCACTTTGGATGTAGCATGTTTTACACTTGGCTGTTTCCATACGTGAAGCAGCCCCTTTTGGAAGCATGTCCATGCAGGTCCACGGAGTAAGCAACACCCCTCTCTTGCGGGGGATGGTGTCAGGGGCTGGGTCCAGGTCTCAGGGTTATCCCCCCTGCCCAAGGGGAGCTTCTCTGTGGAGATCATTGTTTTTCTCAAGGTCAGAAAGGGGGATGAGGAGGAAGACAGGAACTAGGCTGGTGCTCAGGGGGACTCCGGGCGTTCAGGTGAGAATGCACGTGGCGGTGGAGAAGCACAGCTTTAGCCCGTAGATGGCCAGTACAGCGCAGCATCAGGCTGCAGGTATTGACAACTCAGATTCACTCCGCGTGAGTCCGGCGGTAATGACCCCGGGCCACAGCGTCAGGATTCGACATGGGAATCGGCTTAAAGACAAAGAGGTGGTGTAGGGTTTGGCTCAGGGTCATCAGGCCAAGCGATGAAGTCCAGAAAGCCACCGAAGGCAAAACTAGGCGGAGTCTCCCCAGGGTGTGCTCTGCTACCTAAGAAGAAAATCCTTTTGCCTGTGAAACGGAATGGTCGAGGGGTGCTAGTGTCAGGAAATAGCTGCTCTAGACGCAAGTGACTGTTAGCAGATCCGCACGAAGTCCATCCAGAGAATAGAACGAAGTCTATTCCAGAGAATAGTCCATCCAGAGAACGCAGAGGCGTTCCGGTGGGAATAGATGGTGTCCAGGGGACTGCTGCGAGTACGGCAGTTCTCTGGAAAGCGCTGGTCCTGCTGGTTTAGCAAATCCTGGCGGTCACGGTAGAAGGAGTAGCAGAAGACAAAGAAGACGGTAGCCCCTCGGCCCTCCACGAAAGGGTGAACAAAGGACAGCACAAGCTGCGTCTCTGTTGTCTCAAAAGTGGGTGTGAGGCCGGCCAGGTAGTGTGCGAACAAGGGGGCCGTGCCCTGGGAATACAGCTTGCTCGGCCTGTTCATGTTCATCATGTTGATTTTGATGAGTTTTCCTGGAATTCCTCCCTGGACACTGAAGTAAAATTGTGATCTTTTCCTGTTCTCAAATTCCGTGCCAGCAGTCTGGCCAGGTCCACACGCTGAATTCATTGTCCAGGGAAGAAGTGACCCCACCAGTGGGGGCTGATGCCACAGCTCCAACCCCTTCCCCATCACTGGACACAGGCTTCACCTTCTCCACACGGGCCAGGTTCCCTGAGTCAGAGCGAGAACGGAACAGCAGTGCCGCACAGCGCAGCTCCATCATGGGGCCGGGAAAGCACCCTGCCACACCAGTCTGGCCCTGAGAGCTCTCTGGCCCGGCGCTCCCGCTCCCTCTCCTGCTAGCGAGGTGACCCCTCAGGCCCCGGCACCCGGCCCTCCACCCAGGACCCAAACAAAACCCTAGCGCTTCTGTGCCGGGACCCTGCTCTCTCACTTTGTAGAACAGCTCACATTGCTCGAGTCTCAGCTCAGAGACCTTTCCTGAATCACTTCTGATGGAGCGGCCAGTCCTGCCCTTACTTTCTATTGCTGTTCCCTCACTGTGTTCTGTTTTCATCATGACACTTGCCGCTCCCAAGTAATGTAATGTACTTACTGATGTACTTTATTCATTAGCTTCTCAGCCATCTCCCTCCGTGAGAGCATACACACCGTGAGGTCAGGAGCCTACTTTTTCTTGCTTGCCCTCCTTATCTCTAGCAGTCCTGTGCTGTACCTGAGAAGGGAAGAGTTTGGTCAGTGTTTGTTGAGAAACTAACAAATCAGTCAGTGAACTAACACGCTTCTACCCTGAGGCTTTTCGTCTATGTTTTAAGTATACTTCTTAATGTCCTCGTGTGTTGGCAGATTGAGAAACTGAAAGCTGAATCTGGGAATCCATCTGCTCAGCTGAAGTTACGTTCAAAAGATAGAGCAGCTGAGGCCAAAAAGATTCAGGATCTAGAGCGCCAAGTAAGTGTTATGAGTACATTTTTATTAAAGTATTTTTTATATGGTACATTTTTGTTTTAGGAGTTCCCACAAGATGTAGTTAACCTGGAAAATGCTCATTTTGCAGAAACATTAGTAAAAATTATAAGCAACTGTTATAAAATGTATAACTGTGTAAAAAATTTTTAGACCATGCCTCAGTTACAAGCTGGTCTACCTGTTAATAAAAGGTCATTTTGCATCCCAGCTCCATTAGACATGTAGGAAGAAGGAAACAAAGTTTTGAAGCTCTGGGTATAGAGTTAGGATTTCTTCTTCCAAGCTAGGTACAGTGGCATACAGCTAGTCCCAGCCATGACGCTAGGAGTTCAGGGCCAGCCTTGGTAACATATCGTGACCTCATCTCTGAAAAAACAAGAGTCCTTCTAGCCAAAGATAAGTGATGGGGGGGTGCAGGAAGAAAGACCTGAGTTGGGAACATGTTTGTAATGATTGGGAAATGTTAGAAACTCTCTAAAAATAGAACATTCAACCTCCCAAAAAACTGGTCATCATCTTGCTCATTGCTTAGGGTCAGAAATATTCACGTCATGGTCAGTTTAGCTAGGAGCCCCTTAATTAAAATCATACAGTGAAATTATTTTATTAGAATAAAATAATTACTTGAGGGGAAGCAGAATTATAATTACTTTTCATTTTAAAACGTTCTGTAGTGTGCCATTCATATTTATTAGCAAATATTAAAACAGAATAAGAATTTCCAACTGTGTTTGTAAGGGAGCATAATTCTGTAGTCAAGTCATAATACTTAAATATATGGCTATTATTCCATCACAAATCCAAAATTCTGAGATCATTCCTGGACTGGATATTGTTCTAGTTTTATGAGGAGGAGAAAAGCTAAACAAAAAATTAACTTTGTTACTTCGACAGGATCTTTTGTTATGTTGAAAGGTAGGACAGTAGGTTGGGTCAGAGGCTGAGGAAAGAATAGGTCGAAGGTGGTTTGAAGAGGTGGAAATACTCCACAGTGCATGCAGTCCAGGATTCTGCTTAGATTTTCTTCAGTGCTCAAGATTTACATTACCCCATGTAGAAGCCATTAGGACAGTGAAAGAAAAACAACCTGTTTCTTGATTAGGTTTATTTTAAAAGGAAAATCATGTAGAATTAAGATGAAAACAAAGATGAAAACTAAGATGAAAACAAAGACTTCAAATAGTGATCCATAGTGACTAGAAATATACTGTTTTGTAAAATTAACATCTCTTATTATTAACTTTTATTAAACATTTATTGGTTTTTATCACATTAGATTATATCTTTTATAATGTAGTCATCATTTAATGATATTTTATTTTTACTTGGATCACTGCATGTACATTTTATTTATTTTTTTTTTTTTTCTTTTTTTGGTTTTTCTCCGGTACCGGGAACCGAACTCACGACCTTGCACTTGCCAGGCAGGCGCTTTTGCTGCTGAGCTAAATCCCCAGCCCCTGCATGTACATTTTAGATCTTACTGTTTCCACGAGAATTTATGTCCTAATGACTTTAGATCTGAATATATTTTATAATATTATCATAGTATATTTTATAATCAAGGTATAGATAATATTCTCAGAATCATTTTTAAACCATATTTTAAAATAGATTATATGCAAATAAATTTTTTTCTAAAGAACATAAGTAAAAATGGGGCAAAGTAGACATATTTTATAATGAAGATTTCAGATAATGGCTTTGTGTTCATACTTTTGCTTAATTGAATAGTTCATAGTTTAATTTTCAACAAAAATTTTTTAAAATTTTACTTCATATACCAATACCATTGACCAAAGAATATTTAAAAGCAAAACTAAAGACAAAGATAAAATTTAATTTTCCCCAATTGAATGTATTTGCACCTATTAAAATTAGAATGAAAATATTTCATATAGTGTTTAAATGAACACATTAATAATAAATATGTTAAATTCATTTTTAAAAATCTTTTTAGGTTGTATCTTGTTGCATGTTCATAGGCTAGAAAACTGTTTAACAAAGAATTTTAATGTATGTTTTTAGAGGATATGTTAACCATACCACCCTTCAAAAATACAGGTATACTTACATACATGACGGTCCCGTGGTACACAAACTTAATTTGTTTCACAGTTTTGGGGAAGATGGCCTCGTTTATATTTCTGTGGGAAGATAATTACAGTTGTGTATCACCCGATGTAGCGTTTGTGAGTGCAAGCAAAATTTTGTTGAATGCTTTTGACAACTGAGTTGTTTGCAAATAGAAAAGTTCATGAACCAAAGTATTACTGTAATACCAACCTGTAAATTCTATGGATTCTGTTGCAGTTCTCTCTTACAGAAAGAGCACATCATTGTTTTATAGACTAAATTAACAGTATTCTTTTGTGAAGATTTCATTAAATGTCATCCAAATATTCCTTGCTTCCTAATTTTAAAGTTACTTGACAGTATTTTAAGCTTCATTTGGAGAGGGCCTTTGGGAGGGGATGGAGTGGAGACTGTTCCAAACAGGCCAAGTACCCAGACCCAGGAAATTCCAGGTATATTGCAAAACGTTTGCTGTATGATCATGTGTATGTAAATAATTTTCCAGTCAGTCCATAGTAGAAGCAGTATCATACAGAGGGACCTATGTGGGGAAAGGATGGGGAAGATATTTGTACTCGAGGAGACTGGTTATTAATAATATAACAGGAAACTTGAAGATATGTTTGAAATGACTGTAAGAGGACTTCTGTAAGTTAACCAGTAATTGACCACTATACTATAGGGTTTTAAATCAGGTAATCTAAGATTATAAAATTTTAAATTGCTTTGTACTTCTGTGCCTTTGATCCAGTCTGAGGACATGCTGTGGACATCTGAGATTGAGATATGACTGATGTAGCATAATCTAACTTTATATATTAAACTGCTTGACTTTTACATATATTTTAATAGGTTAAGGAAATGGAAGGAATTCTGAAAAGAAGATATCCCAATTCATTACCTGCTTTAATATTGGCTGCCTCCGCCACTGGTGATTCAGCAGATAGAAATACAGTGGAATTCATGGAAAAAAGGATTAAAAAGCTAGAAGCTAGCCTGGAGGGCAAAGATGAGGAAGCAAAGAAAAGCCTTCGTGCCATGGAGCAGCAGTTTCAGAAAATGAAGGTGCGCACGAGGTAGCTATGCAGTGTGCTCTCGGAGGTGGAGCGGGCACAGAGCCTGCATGGGTCTCATTCTAACAAGCAGCCCTAAACACCCGTGCCTGCAGCCTTTGCCACCACTGCAGCTCCGTCTGTACCTGCGTCGGTCCCGTCTTGTCCTCTTTCAGGAACTTGTTTTTGTTTGAGACATAAAGTGATCAAGCGCAGGATAATCTTCACATTCCCCCCTCTCAGTGTTAGAACTAGTAGAAATTAAGCCGAGGATAAAGCAGGTAAAATACCCCTAATACATATTTAGCATAAAAAGAGAAAAGAAATAACCGTGGTTGAGCATACTTTCACCAAAATTTATCTAGATGAGGTGAAAGAGATGACAGAAGCACATGTTTTAAGAGGTGAGGCAGAGATGCAGGAAGGCATCTTCCGGAAATTTTTTACTTCTGTTTTCTACCCCTTTGTGAAACGAAAAGGAATGAAAATATACCAGGTGGGGCAGACCAAGGCTACAGGACAGTACGTTGTACTCAGTTTACTTTTCAACATTTGTTGGGCGCATGGTTGTTGTCAGGAATCAGTGCAAGATGATTTCACAAATGTCCCAGTTCATCTTGCAGAACACTTGCAGTTAGAGGTGCAGTAGGCAGAGTTGCCTGTATTACAGAGAGAGGACTGGGGTACTCACAGTTTAACCATCTCTCCCCAAGTTCTGCTGCTGGTGAGTAGCAGAGGAAGGCCCCAAATCTGAGGCTTCTAGCCACAGCCCTGTGTCACACTGCTTCTAGCAAGGTGATCTTCCTCACACCTGAGAAAAGCAACAGATGAAAGAACATCAGATCCCAGAGACTGTAAGAGGTTGACACCCTGGAAATATAATGGCCTGAAAATTAAGGTCACATCAAAGCAGGTTGTGTTTCCAGTACTCACCCTCTTCATTAAATCTCTCAGCCTGTTGTGGATGTGGCTGAGCGAGCCTTTCTTCCACGTTTTAACCATTCACCCCAACTTTTTGTCGAGTTGATGTTCCCCCACCCTTACGCCATTCTCCTTGCAGCAGAGCAAGCCCCTCCGTGTATATACTGTAGAATAGTTGGAAACTCACCAGTAAAGTCAGGTAGACCCTCAGTCTAGGCCCAGTTCCCCCATGGCTGAGCCAGTTACTGTGGCACTGAGCTTCAGTTTTCTCACATGTACTAGAAATAATAACTGACTTATTGCTGGTTATCCACTTTTATTTCAAATTACCTTTTAATTCTGTCTCTTAATTAAGATGTCACTACAATCATAAATGAAAAATGGGCTGGGGCTGGGGGAAGGGTAGCGGCCACTACTCTACAAGGCCACTGGGGTCCAAATCTCAGCACCACCACCACAAAAAAAGTGTGTGTGTGTGTCTGTGTGTGTGTGTATTTTCTGTATTATTCTAGTAACTTCCTGACTAGTCTACTCATATCCATTGTGCCCAGCACAACTCATGACCCTAAAGCCAAAATTACATTTTCATATCCCTGCCTTCACTGGTTGATACCCGTTCAGCAACTCCTTGTTGCTCTCGAGATAAATAAACAGCATTTATCCACAGATGACCAGGTATTTCTGTCCTCTTCAGTGTGTTTCTATACCATGCTTACTCCCTTCAGTCCTATTGGTCTGTTTCACCTGCCCCCTTATTTCCTCTCGCTCCAGAAGTACATCTTTGTTACCACAGGCTGAGATCCTCTGAGCTCCCATATCCCACACCAAAGTTGTTTCTATCCAGATGTCAGCCTAAACATGCCCCAGTGAAACACAAAGAAACTTTTAAACAATAAGCAGTGTTCCTGGGCCTGCTGGTGGATGAATTACCTCTGCACGCACTCTCAGACATAGGCACCCGCCACCAGTGGATTGCATTGCTAGTTGTCTCTGCCTTCTTCTAGATTCGGGACTCTGTGATGGCTAGGACTGTTCTGCTCTCACTCGCTGTTGTATTCTATCACTGAACAAGGTGCCTGGCATGGAGAAGATACTCAATAAATACTTTAATTAATCCCTATAGTGTAAGGCATTGGCAGTGTTGAATGCTGTAGGAGGCCCTAGGTCCATGCCTGGAATATAACAAACAGAAATGAATATAGTTACTATTCATACTCTACCAAGGAAACAGTTCAAATATGAACTCCAACCCCGTCCCCATTTTTATGTATCCAAGTATACTAACCTACCTTAACTTTTCCCCTTCTCTTATTCCCCGACCCCATCATCCCACTCCTGCCCCTGCTCACTCCGTGTCAGTTCCTCCCTTTGTTTCTGACACTCACAACACACCAGTCGCTTTCACATGCCCTCTCCTTCTGAACTGTGTGTGCCTTACTCATCCCCCGTCCCCAAAGTTACACCCCTCCCTCAAGATCAATCTTACGTGCACTGTCTCTGTGCTGTCTCCCACCTTCCTTAGGCCTGCAGACTCGCAGGGCTGCCTCGCCACCTCTGCACTGTGTTCACAGGCATAGGACACTGTAACTGTTACGCTATCGCTGTCCTCACCAGGCTGTGAACTATCTGAAAGGAAGAATTGCATCTCTTCTCATCTCTAGAACCTACCACAGTGCTTGGCACAAATGCATAGCTCAATAAACATTCATTGATTGAACAAACGCTATTGCTGCCTCTCTCCGTGGAGTAAACTGTTTTTATTTTTGTATACTAAGGCTCTGCTATACAAATTCTAAGCTGTCTTAGTCCCTGTAAGATTAGTAAATTGATGTTAGAAGGTTGAAAATGTCCTGTGTCTCAGATGCTTTACCTATTTATCCTCAAAGACTATGTTTGACAATTTACATAGAAAAGGGTGCATAATAAGTTTAAATATACCTCTTGATAGTAACAATTTTTGGCAGTACGTTAATAAATTAATACTATTAATTTAACAAGTCTTTATTTTTAAGGTTCAGAATACTTTGGGGGTATACAAATTAAATGTATATTTATGAAGCAACATTATGAAACTGTATGACATTTGTCAAGATTGTATGGTACTGTGCCCTTCAAACAGTAAGGCTTTGATACATTTGACTCACAGAGAGTTGGATGCATTCCAATATATAAGAAATACCTGAATGAAGGGCTAGCTAAGACCCAGTAGAATTCAGGGCTTAAGTAACTAGTGAAATGTTTAGCAGGGCTGTGATAATACATAGATTGTCTCTTTAGATTCAGTATGAACAAAGACTTGAAGAACAGGAGCAGCTACTTGCATGCAAATTAAAGGAAACACCCCAGAGCCAGCAAGACAACTCTAGGGTTAAAGACCTGGAAGCAGAACTCAAGGACATTAAGGAAGCCCATCAAACTATTGTAAGAAACCTTGCAGCAGAAATAGATGTCCTTAAACGTCAGAATGCTGAATTAGAACTCAAGAAAAATGACACAGATGATAAAGATTTCCAGTCCATAGAATTCCAGGTGGAACAGGCCCATGCTAAAGCGAAACTAGTAAGACTAAATGAAGAGCTGGCTGCCAAAGAAAGAGAAATTCAGGACCTTTCAAAAACTGTGGAGAGGCTCCAGAAGGAGAGACGCGTGATGCTGTCCAGTCAGCACGCAAAGGGCAGAGAAGAAGTGAGCGCCAAAAGGGTGAAGAAAGACGTTCTGCACCCAAATAAAGGAAGTGCCAACTTCTCTGGAAGCCTGGATGGCAAGCTGTACCAACCACATGCTTTTACTGATTCCCACATTTCAGAGGTTTTACAAGAAAACTACAGATTGAAAAGTGAGCTAGAGGAATTAATTTTGGAGAGGAATAAGCAGAGGATGGAATCCGAAGCAGCAGTGAACCAGTATGAAATCTCCATGAAAAGGTAAAATGTTAAATTGTGTATAAATACTGGGAACCTAAGTCCAAGTTTTTAAAAATCCTAAGACATTTTGTCTGGATCACCAGTTGGGCCTTGAATCAAATTTATAACTAGATTTTTAAAAATTGTATTACCTTGCCGAGCATTGATCCATTTCAAGGTAGCATCTGTACCTGCCAGAGGCCCAGAGTCTGATGAACGAAAATTGTCGCCTCTAGCCTTGTCCTTGGGCTGACCAGTCCTGTCTCTCTGTGTGTATCCAGGTGATGTTAATAATTAATAAGCTGGCCACTCGGGCCCTTCTTACAAAGGAAATGCCATTTGTGGTTGCTGTAGGCAGATTGCTGTCAGAAAACAGCTATTATTAAAACTAACGGACCATCTAAGAGGAAAAGGTTCTCTTTCAGAAGTAGATTTCAAACTGTCCTTGTGGGCCATGTGTGACCTGAGAAACTGAACACATTTCTTTGCAGAATCTTCAGCTGCTACCCACTCCCTTTCCTCTGCTACCCACTGTCTTTTCCTTTTGATGTCCTCAGAGCTTTCTTTCCCCTAATCGACCAAGTTCTAGGCCTCGCACAGTCCTTCAGTGCCAACAGGTAGCCTCTTCTTTTATTTCTGCTTCACCTCGTCCTGAACGTGGCTCTTGTCACCATTCTTCACAACCTGTGCTCTCAGTAAAGACCTTTTCCAGTCCAGGGACATGTTCTGCCGCTTCACTTTTCTTGGCAGTGTTGACCACATGGTTTGCCCCCTTAACCTCCATCGCCTGGTAGCTCTAAAGCTTCTCTGGCTTCTAGTCCCTTTCCCTTTCCCTTTCCCTACCCCAAATCTTTCTACAGAAGCATAGTTTTTGGCTTTCTATTTATGCTGTGCTTTCTCCGTTGCAAAACGTATCTCTTCTTACAGCTTCTGTGAATCATGGCTTCTAGATTTATTTTTTAGGGCTCGTTCTCAGATGACAAACCTACAACTACTGGTTTGGATTACTTTTCTTACAAGAAAAAGTACCTCAAGTTTTCTCTTTTTTACCCATAAACTACTCCCCCTCCTGAGTTCTCTATGGCCATATTAATTCCATCTGCTAGGCCCAAGTTTACTTCCTTTTTAACTTGGATTCATGGTGTGCAGGGTATGCCTCCACATAAATAGTCATCATTTAGCTTTCTTCCTCGTTGTAGAAACGAAGGCAGACTGCCTGGTTTACTGTACGGTTTTCCCACTCAGATCACTCTTCGTCTGTACCTCCCCTAATCATCATGCTTGAAAAACACTAATTCTTTAACTATTTCCATATCTGAGTCCCTCGCCCTCCAGTGACTCCCAGCTTCCATAAACCAAGACTAAGTTTCTCTGCCTAGCCACTCTTCTCATCGTATTCTATAAGGTGTTACCAAAAAGAGTGGTTTGTTTCAAATTCATTACAGTGAAAGCTTCGTTTGCCCTTAATCCCCCTCCCAGTGCATTTCCCTTTGCTTCAAACACTCATTCCACATTCCGGCCACCTTTGGAAGCAGTTCTAGTTGAGTCCCTAGTGAGCGTCTAGCTGTACTGTGTTAGGTAAATGGTGCCGACGCGGTAAGGAGCCCAGCCACTCTGAATCGGGATCTGGGCGGGAGCTCTGGCGTAACTCCGGAGGAGAGTCGGTCCGGTTCGCTGGCCTGGGTCTTTCGGCCTGGGGTAGGTTGGAGGGATGGGCTTAGGTGGGGTGATGTGAAGGGAGGGCATGAGGCTAAGGAGTGAAAATGGCCGCGTGCACGTCTACAGCAGCAGGCTCTGTAACCTAGCAGGGGACCAGTGTCGCGTCCAGCAGAGTCGGCGCTGTTCCCAGGCCCGGGCAGGGCTGTAGCTGGAAACAAGCTGCGGTTGTCTTTGGAGCTCAGGAACTTGGGGGGCTGTGGGGGGCTGGGCAGCAGGAATCAGACCTATCGTGCTGCTGTGGCTGCCTTGATGGCCTGAGTCTTTCACAGTGTTTACTTTTCATGGTCATTTTGACTTCGGGGAAGAGCCGAAGTTAAACAGTGGCAGGTCTGGTGAGTAAGGTGGCTGAGGACACTAGCGTTTCCACGTGCCTGGCTTTCCTTTGGGTGGCACTGGGCGGCAGCATTCGCCCTATTGTATTTTTGATAGGAAAGAACTTCCCAAACTGCTCCAGGAAGTGCAGGAATGATAGGGTGAATCTGTGCGAAGGCGGGAGGGAGTACTTTGAGAGAGGCTAAGAGCAGCGTGTCTCACTGTAATCTTTTTTTTTTTCTAAGTTCATGGTATATTTTGATCACTTACGCTGCCACATTTAATGCCTTTTGCTCATTTGTGTTTCAGCTCTTACCTCCTCCACAAAACATTTCTTGGAGCTTCCCAGGAAATTGCCTGCTCCTGCCCAACTCCTACACAGCTTATAATGTGCACCAGGAAAATGTTAATCATACATAGCTTGCGGGCCCTGAGAACAGATGTTCGGTTATGTCTTTGCCTCGCTACAGAAACCCAATGTAGGAGCAGGGCGAGCGTGGAAGCGTTTGACACGAGTGGGGGGACGAATGGGGAGCCAGGGCAGTGCCCGAGTCGTCAGGACAGCCGCGCTGCTCCGCGCTGAGCCCTGCCTTCTTCCGTGTGGAGGCTGACTGCGAAGAGTCACGTTCTTTCCTGGAAATAATTTCAAACCTAGGTTTTTCCTGTGCATTTTCCTGTGTATAATTTTAAACGCTCTTTTAGTGTCAGTCTGTTTCTCAGGTAGCTCTAACACTGAACAGCAAATGTTCCCAGTCCCAGATTGAGGCTTTTTTTACTATAATTCAGTCCTATCCTGTTTGAAGGTTTCATGCTTTCTCTAGAACTCTGACCATACTGTTTCCATGGAGAAATGCTCATATAGTGAAAGAAGCACATGATGAACTTGTCTGTAGTTCGTAAATTACTGTATTAGTATGTATCAACAGTGATTCGTAACTTGTCCATTTGTTAAACTGCCTGAATGCATACATTTTTGACACAGAGACAAGTGAATAGTCTCAACTCTGTGGCCTGAATAACTAAGTGCAGGTTCCCTTGTATCCTGAGAATTACCATAAAGATCACCTTATTCTCACACTGTGTACCTCGCCCTGGAGTCATGTGTGCACCAGGACACTGAAATGCTGCCGAGACACACTGGAAAGATTCCGAGGGGAAGAGCTGTTGTTATACAAATGCGAGTCTGAGCAAGAAACCTGAATTTATCTTAGAATAGAAAGTCAAGCACTTGCCTGTAAATTGAGGCTGGAATTTTGAAGCTTTAGATTTCCTGGGAGAATGCGGGGTCGGACTTTGAAGTCTGGCTCTGCTGGACTTGAACCCTGGCTCTGCAGTGTGCTCATCTGGGAGCCTGGTGATTTCACATTCTCTAAAATCAGGTTCGTTCTGGTAAAACCTAGTGAGTGATGGTTCCTGGAGCGGTTGTAAGAAACTGCAGGTGATGGATGATGTGAAAGGCCCCACCGTGACGCAGTTACTGTTGGTGCCCTTCCTCCCTTTGCTGCTTTCACTTCCAGGCCTCTTACACTGGTTTTGTGCTGACTCTGAATTAGAGGTTGAAAAGGCACTACAACGTGTGAGTTTCCTTCGTTTCTTCCGTAGGGTCGAGGAAGACACTGCAGCACAGATTGCATCCCTCAAAGCATCCCATCAGAGGGAAGTAGAGAAACTCCTCTGCCAAAATGCAGTTGAAAATTCTTCTTCCAAAGTAGCTGAACTGAATCGTAAAATAGCAACTCAAGAGGTAGATCACAAATGTGTCTTGATCTTTTTTTGGCTGTAATACATATTTTAGGACTGTTAATTTGGAAATGTTTTAACTTCACTTTTTCATGTGGATGATAGAAATGGAAAATTATTATTAGTTTGTGTTTTTTATAGTAGATATCATTGCCCTTACTCTCTTGAGTATTTTTAGTTCGGTCCCTGTCCTCCTCAGATGCTCTAAATACATTGTAGCAGATGGCTGGGGTACATGTCCAGTGTGGTTATGGCTGCAGTGCCTCCCTCCCCAAGTCCCAAATGACGGGTAATTCACTGGCAGGCGTTCTTTCTGTCTGCTGCTTTCCCTTCACCGAAGAAACGATGATTCAGGTCTAGAGACAGTCAGGCTCAGGGCCTGAAATAATGAACAAAGAGATATGCACAGCACTAGTCCTTCTGAAACAGTCTTCTAAGAATTATGACGAAGAATGCTGACGAGTTACCAGCACTTCCTTGAATAAATGTGTCTTCCTTTTTGGATAATAGTTGTATCTACTTAGAATATCCCAAAATGTCTACCATGTAGTCTGTCTTCTCTGATGTTAGCAGGTTAAAAAAGAGCAGTGCAATAGAACTTTCATGTGCAACGTACTTACTTACAAATGATATATCCAAGAAAAGAAAATGTGTTAAGATGTTAGCAATTGGGGAATCAAATTGAAGAATATATGAATGTTAATTTTGATCTTCATCCTTTCTGTAGGTTTCAATTCTAATGAAACAAGCTTTAGGGGAAAAACACTTAAGAAATAATTGTCTTGGGCCAGGACTATAGCTCAATGGCACAAGCGCCTGCCTGGCAAGCACAAGGTCCTGAGATCCGTTCCTGGTACAAAAAAGAAGTAGTGGTCTTACCATGATCTGTCCCACCTATAATTACTTTATACCATTTTAATTGAAGAACAAATCCAATTGAAGAAGTTTAAGTATGGATTTTATATTAAATACTAAGAAATTATTGTAAATTTTCTTAGGTATAAAGTTGTCGCTGTGATTATTATTAGGATGTGTCTGTTGAAGTATTTAGCAAGGGTAAAATGTATTGGTGTCTGCAATTTAATTTCATGTGGCTCAGAAACAAGACCATCATGGTAATTTAGTGAGAAGTGTTTAAAGTTCCTTTCAAAAGTAACGGTCCATACAGCCTTGCAGATGAGTTTTCTACACCCACACCAGGTGTCGGGGGTTAGGTGTAAGCATTGTCCGAAGTAATTCTGTAGTACAGAACAGTCTGGGGAAAATGGGAACAGTAATGTCATAATAGCCTAATGCCACAAATACGTCATTTGCAAGGGTTATAAAATAGTGTGAAATTATGAGGTAAATGGAAGTCAGTGCAGTCTGATCGTTAAAAGGAATAGAAGAACAGCATTAGAGGTGATACGCATTTTCACTATTTCTTAATGGAAGTATCTTCATATATTTGTCTAAAAACATTTCACAAATTTTAGAAGGCTTGTTTTAAACTATCTTCCTACTTGATCACAAAGTATAAGATAATATTTTGCAGTTTCTTCCAAATGCTTAGAATTTAAAGACTTATGTCCAAAGATTTTTTCAATCATACATTGGCTTTCTTACATGTTTCCGGCATTGTTCAGGGGAAAACGTTACTAACGCAATACTTCTGACAATTTTCTAGGTCCTTATAAAACACTTCCAAAGTCAAGTTAATGAGCTCCAGGGTAAGCAGGAGTCTCTCGCAGTTTCTCAGGTTCGAGAAGAAATCTTGCAGAAAGAGGTAATACAGACTTTCCTTAGGCATTTCAATCATGTATTTATATATAAAATGTTTAACTTCAGTATGCACATAGATATGACCTGAAAGTATCTATTACACATCAGGAAAATATTAGTAACTGACGATCGGGGTCAATGATTCCTGTAAGTCTTCTAGAGAGAAGGAAGTTAAATTAGGCAGCTAAACATTAATCAGATTTTCTGGGAAAACTGACAAAGGAAAAGTTTCAGAAGTGTGAGGAATTTGTTGAAGGGAGGAGACCATATTTTGAAGTAAGCTCAAGCCAGGGATCCAGAAGATTTTCATAGGGTCGGAGTGAATCTGTAAGATGAGCCTTGACATCCTTCGTATCTTCATTTAATGTTTATCATCCCATGGATACCAAGAGGACATTTATTTAGAATAAGAGCTCCTAAAGTGCAATCATTTCAGATATAAAATCCCAAATTTTGGGGCTGGGGATTTAGCTCAGGGGCACAGCGCCTGCCTGGCAAGTGCAAGGTTGTGAGTTCGATTCCTGGTACTGGGGAAAAAAAAAAAAAAAAACGAAAATCCCAAATTTTTAAAGGTGCATTTATTTTAATGCAACTCTACACAGATAAGCTACATACTGGTTTTAAGCCATAAAAAAGTTTAACTATGGATGTGACATGACAGACTTCCTCAGAGAACCTGTAGAAGATACAGTCTCAAGAGTCAAAGCTTCTCTCAAAAATAGCTAAGAAAACCAAGTCTTACTGGACAAGCAGTAAGAATAGTTTTTCCAGTCTCCCACAGAATGTGCGATGATCCAGTCATAAACCTAACCCAAGACACTGAGCAGGCATATAAAAAAAGTACATGAGCCGGGCGTGGTGGCGCACGCCTGTAATCCCAGCACTCGGGAGGCTGAGGCAGGAGGATAGTTGTGAGTTCGAGGCCAGCCTGGGCTACCAAGTGAGCTCATGGCCAGCCTGAGCTGCATATCGAGACCCTGTCTCAAAAAGACAAAAAGTATATGGAAATTGAAGTAGTATTTAATTTGAACATTCTGTGTATACGTGTGGTACCCTTGTCTTTCATTCAGTAAGCATGGTTGAGTTGTGTTCTACCTAATTCTTAATAATCATCTTAACACAAGTTTTCATGGCCAGCACCACAGCTATACGGTGCCTCTGAGCTTTCTCAAGCCATCCCAAATAAATTGTCTTTTTCCTTGGTGGCTAATGATATCATTAGGGATGTTCCACATTTAAAATACTTAGGTTGTCTGTGACTCAGTTCATTTTATTTCAGTTTTTTCCCCAGCTAATTTAGGCAAGATGTGATTTTTTTAATACTGTTATTACTACTAGCTAATGTTTCCATATAGAACATGATTAAATTTATTAATTTAATCAACTTGCATTTTCTTGTGTTTTATTGCCTTTTGATGTAACAGCAAAATCTGACTGTTGCAATTTCTTTTATCATCATTATATGGTATAAAGAAAATGCACTTAATTATTTACTAGGCCTTAAAAAAATTACTGTAAATCCCGTCCATTTTACTCCGAGGTGCTAATCACCATTTCCTTTGTGTCTCATGCTGTGAAAATGGAAGTTTTGCACTAGGACTGTAAGCATCACAAGGAGGGGGCCATTTTATTGCTGCATACACAGGTCCTAAGGCAGCGGGCAACAGAGGAAGAGCTCAGTACCCGTTACCCCCCCTTTATATTCATACCTTTATGTGTAGAATAGGTTGCTCAAATGATAAAGTGGGAAGGGACAATTATAAAGGGAGTTACAAATTATGGAGTGTTGGTAAGAGAAATACATATTCATTGAACTTTTTCTGTGCATCGGTCGCTACTGTTGAGTGCTTTGTCACATTCACGACACAACACTAATTCATATGCCTTGCTGCTGGGCAGCTTGAGCCACCGGGGGCCCAGGCATGAGTGTCCATTAGGTGGCTTGTACCACTGGTGGTACAGACAGATCTAATCACTTTTATTAATCTTTTCACTAATAAAATTAGTAAAAAGTTGCCCAGTGGAACAGTCATGCATGGACCACCAGTAGCTCAAGCCACCAGGCACATGTATTCTTTTAAATCTGGTTACTACAAATACCTTGTGTCCAAGCTGAACCCACCAAAGGAACTGCCCAGCTTGATGTTGAGCCCTGTCACCAGACAGCTGTGCATGCAAGGGAAAAGTTGTAGTCCAGTCTGGAGCTTCTTAGGAGGCGAGGTGGATTTTGGAGATAAAACAGACCTTTACTTCCTGTACATGGGGAATAGAAACTATTAATTAAAGAATCCAAGATGCCTCTTATCTAGAGAAATTTCATGCAAATATTTTTAAAATTGCCTTTATAAAAGGAACTGTCTTCTTGTGACCTTAGTTTTTCACTTCATACTTCAATTTTAGATTACAAAACTCTTAGAAGAATTGAGAGAAGCCAAAGAAAAGCATACACCAGAGATGAAACATTTCATGGGCTTAGAAAAGAAAATTAAACAGATGGAAATAAGACATAAGCAGAGAGAGCAGGAGCTTCAGCAGGTAAAGTAGATCACGTGTACATATTTTATAGTTTTTCACTTTTAAGTACCATTAATTTGCTGTAGTTTTGACCTACTTAAGTTTCTTCTGAAAGTGTTCCCATTGTATTTAAATCTTGTTAAAAAAAATAGCATTTAAGAGGAGATAAGACTTTTAACTCTTAAGGACTTGCAGATGAATTTGCCTTGCATTTTGCCTTACATCTTTTTGAGACAAGGTTTCACCATGCAGTTCAGGCTGGCCTTGAACTCCCTTTGTAGCCCAGGCCGGCCTCAAACTCACAGCAATACTCCTGCCTCAGCCTCCTGAGTACAGGCATGTGCCACCATGCCCAGCATTCTTGCCTTATATTTGGAGAGAGAAAAAACTTCTATCATTCTCTTATTGATAGGTGCCTAAGTTTTACATTTTTTTACTCTGGAAGTAGAACTTTAAGAACACCGTTCCGTATTGCAAGTCATTTCTACAAATGTGTGTGAGAAAATTGATACTAAAATATGATTAAAATATTATATACTTAGCACCTGTAATATGTTTACTACAATTACAAGCATTATCTGCCATTTTAAACTTACTAATAAGGACATGATATACTTATAGGTACTTGCGTTGGTGCCGGTATTTATAGAAACCCGGCGCACCTCTCAGCTTGGCCCCGCCTCCGCTCTTTGAGACTCTAGGTATTCTTCACCCCCACTATGAGCTGTGACAGCAGTGTGTAACTTCTGTATTCGCAGATAATACAGCAGACATACCAAGTAGTAGAAACTGAGCAAAACAAAGAAATTGAGAAGTGGAAAAGACTTGCACAGTTGAAGAACCGTGAGCTGGACAAGTTCCGCACAGAGTTAGACTCGATACTGGATGTTCTTCGGGAGCTGCACCGGCAGGGGGTGGTTGTGCCAGTTGCTTTTGCAAGTGAAGTGAATGCACCAGAACTTTAGTAGAAACTCAGACTTCAGATGACCTTGCTGAAAGGCCTGAAGATCAATAAAATTGTACACTTTCAGGACAGATTTTGAAAAAGGAGTTCCAGTATGTTGCCAGAAGGAAACAACACAAACACCATTTCAGAATAAATTACCCAACAAGGAAAGTAAAAAAGCATCATGACATCCTCCTGAAGGTCATTAACTGGTCACCTTTTAAATGATCTTAAGTCAGATGATTATGATCTTAACAAGGTTCATTGTAAAAGGTCTCACCTGTATGCTAGAAATGGGAAGAAAATTGCACATATTCCCACGTATAATTATTGACCAGGTATGCATTCGAGACAGAAAAGCAGCTGCTTTCTTATGGAGCTGGCCAGGGGAACGTGAGCCCAGTGGTGTGGACAGCCTCATCAGCTGTCGGCTGAGTTATACAGCTTTGTCAGTAATTTAGGTGAGAATTCTCAGCTTCCTCACAGGCTGACAGTGAGTTTTCTGTGTTCTAGTTTTCTATGCCTTCCTCTGGGTGACTCTTTTTGGACGTGGTATGAAGTGAAAAGTATTAGGGAAACTTGGTGTATCTACTGCTTTAATCTTTTAGGCTGCAGTACATAAATGCCAGCCCTAATTTGTTTGTAACTTTAAAATAAAAAAACAGTACAGTAACTTCTACCTTTTCTATTGAAAAGAAATCCATTAGAAAAAAATACAAATATGTATGCGTAGCTACTTTATAATTCTCATTTCTAAAAAGATAGAAAAAAAAAGCAGATAGGGAATATGTAAGAGATAGGTCAAAGCTAAAGCAAATTTTTTTTTTAAGATTTCTAGCCCAGGACTGTCTAATAATGGAGCCTACATCTAATTTTTTAATTTATAGTAGCTCCATATAAAGATAAAAATGAAAACTGCAAAGACCAATTTTTGTATTTTTTTTAAGTCTTCAGGATATGGGTTACATGTATAGCATATCTCAGTGTGGATTAGCCACCTTCCGAGTGCCAGTGACTTCCTGTATACCGGTAAGTGCAATTCCAGGGTGATAATGACAAAGCAAAGTACTGTATATAAGACAGGAAAATTAAATCATGGTGGAGTTGTGGTCAGTGGATGTGAGGCACAGGTAAATATAAGGAATGTAATTATTGACTCAATGTCCAGCATTTTTAATATACCTTTTCTAAGAGTAGAAGCTTTATACTTTGCTGTTTCTTAATGTGAAAGCATTTTAATTTATAATATAATTTATTTTGATTATCTGTGCGTTTGTGTAGCTTTTATTTGCAAGCCTACCATTTGTACTGCGCGTATTGCTTCCTTTGTCCTTTTGACTTACTCTATACCTGTGTTCATTCCAAGCACAAATGTAACTGGTTCTGAAACACAGCAAAATGCAAACATCGAATATTTATAGACAAGGTACATCCTGTGTCTATAAATGAGGATTCTATAGTCAAAGTATAGTATGTTTTGGAATAAAATATGTACATGTGACAGGTTCAAGTTTCATAAGTACCACCAAAGGTATGGTTTCAACTCAAAACCTCAGGAACTGTACTTCATTCCTTAATGATTGGCCTTGGGACGAGATGAGAACAAAGAGGATGGATACATTTAAGCTGTTTTGAATAGGAAGGTTTTCATGAAGATTTAAGCTACAGAAATGGTCATTCTTTTCTACTGATGATTAATTGTAGGTGTTGAATTGACTAGTTTCTAAGACATATGTGTAGCTAGATATGTCTGTAAAGTTCTTTCCAGAAGAGATTGGCATTTGAATCACTAGACTGGGTAAAAAATCCACTGTCGCCCAGTGAGGGAGAGTACTACCCAAACAGTAGAGGAAGGCCTGGATAGAACAAAATGGCAGGAGAGAAAGACAAACTGTCTTCTGCAGCTGGGACAGCCATCTTCTGCTCATGGACACCAGAGCTCCACAGGGCTTGTATCAGCAGCCCCTCGGGTTCTCAGGCCTTGGCCTGAGTTTTGTCATAGGCTTGCTTGGCTCTCAAGCCTTCCTTGGGACTGAGCTATGCCACTGATCTCCTTGCTTCTCTAGATTGCAGCCAGCACACCGTGAAAGCTATCCTCCATAGTAGCGTGACCTGTATTAAATCCCCTCCCGTCTCTATGTCATATTGGTTGTTTCTCTGGAGAACTTAACACAGATTTTGGTATTAGGAGTAGTTTTAATGGAACAGAATTTTTATGTGAGTTTCTTGAATTGTTTTTGGGGGTTTCTGGCATTTGTTTTTAAAAATGATTAATTTTAAAACACCCAAGACTCTTACTTTCAGTAGTAGCAAGCATCCTGATAGCTATGGCATGAACTCTGTAGAGATACACAAAGTATTTGAATTGGATACTCTAGAACATCTGTTAAAAGAGGCAGCTAACATAGTGACTCCGAATATGAGAAATACAATCACAGTTGCTACTGCTGTCACCAGAGATGAAGGGATAAGCTCAGGAATTTGAATTCACAGTTCAAGCACTGCATAAAAACCTGTGAATTTCTAGGTGTGCCCAGTTGGAGAATCTTAATTCCTATAGCCACAGGGCTGAAATTGTCAAATCAAATACAAGTTCTTATCATGGAACTGGCTAAAGTACAATGCATGTTGAAGTCCCAACTTCAAAGGGTGTGTATTGTTAGAGTGAGAACATTGTGAGTTAATGTAAAAAGAAAGATGTGCACTTAACCAAGGAAGTGAAAGGCCTATATACAAAACTACAAAACCTTGATGAGCGAAACAAAATACAAGTAAATGGAAAGATACCCTAGTTCATGAATGGGAAGAATATTGTCACGCAACTCAATATACATATTCAGTGTAATCCCTTGAAATTTCAAGGAGTTTTTAACAGGAAAAAAACAATTTTAACTGGAATCAGAAAAGGTCCCAAGTAGCCAAAGTAATCTACATGATATAAAAATATACTACAGAGCCATAGTTATCAAAACAGCCTAGTATTGACATTAAAGCACACGCTCGCACACAAACGCGCGCACACACACACACACACACACACACACACTAATAGTCCAGAAAGAAACCCAGTTTTTGCAGACAGTTGATAATCAGTAGAGATGCAGAATACACAAGAGGAGAAATGAAAACTTCTCCACTGATGGTGTTTGGTTAACTAAGTATCCACATCCAGAAGAATGAAGTTAGGCTGAATTCAGATTATAGACAAATGTAACAACTGAAAAAACTGCTAAGGAAAACAGAGAAAGCCCCATAATATTGGCCCAGGTAATCATTTCTCCAAAACCACAAGCAACAAAAATAAACAGATGGGTTTTCATCAGACTGAAATGCTGCACAGCAGTGAAAACAATGAAGAAACAAAGTGAAAGTATTTGCACAACATACATCTGATAAGAAGCTAAAGGAACTCAACCCAATAGCAAGAGGACCCCATTTTGAAAACAGGCAAAGGACCTAAATAGGTATTTCTCAGCTACACAAGTAGCCAAAAGATTGATAAGAAGATGCTCAGCATCATTTAATTTGCATTCATTTAATAGCACTTGAAACTAAAAGGCCTGTTACCAAAACACATATGCTGAGGAATATATGAAGAAGAGGGACCACATGCACTCACTGTTGGCAATGTAAATTAGTATGGCTATTACTGAAAACATTATAGAAGTTCCTCAAAAACCAAAAAAGTAAACTACCATGTGGTCCAGCAGTCACACTACTGGATACATATATCCAAAGGAAATGAAACTGGTTGGTCAGAAACATGTGCACCTCCATATCCTTGCTACATTATCCATTATAGCAAAGACAGAGAATCCTAAGTGTCCACCACCAAAAAGGACAAAATGTGGTAGACACACACAATGTAGTACTATTATCTCAGTCACTCTTGTCTGTGAGACACAATACCCAACAACCATGAGTTGCAGGAGAGCTTGATTTTGGCTCACTGTTTTCACAAGATTCAGTCCTTGGTGGTTCTAAGGAAGGGCATGAAGTTTGCAGAGGAAAGCTCCTCCCGTCTGGGTGACCAGGAAGCAGAAAAGAAAGGAGCCAAAGAGGAAGCTGGACCCTTCTGCATCACACCACCAGTGGCCCACCTCTTCCGGCCAGGACGCCCACCTAATCGCCTTCCACTCATGAGTGTAGCTCCCCTCAGTCCAGTCACCTGCCGGGGATATAGCTTAGCGGCATAAGCGTCTGCTTGGCAAACGCAAGGTCCTGAGTTCAATTCCCAGTACTAAAACAAACAAACAAAAAAAATCCAGTCACCTTCCAAAAGGTCAAGACCTCCACCCACATGAACCTTGGGGGACCAGAACCTGGAGAACTTTATGCTGGGGAAAAGCATGGTGGCTCATATTTACCCTTTATAGGTGAGACATACGCCACTGTGTATGTCTAGCACATTTTCATCCATTCATCTGCTGGCACCTTGAGACTAAATTGCAACATTAAATAAAGCAGACACAAAAGGGTAAATGTCACATTATTGCTCTCACATAAGAAACCCAAAGTATAAATAAGTTAAAGAGCAAAATAAAAGATGATAGAAAACGGAGATGGATACGTGGAGATGGAAATGGGACCTAGCAATGGGGAGACGAGAGGAGAGAAAAAGAAAGGAAAAAGATCAAGATGCAGTATGTGTATGTACCAGTTTCCCAGAATGAATGTATTTCTTATGTGTCAAAAATATACTATGAAGGGGCTGGGGATTTAGCTCAGCGGCAAAGCGCCTGCCTGGCAAGCGCAATGTCATGAGTTC